TGGTTTTAATATTAAAGAAATAATTTAGAACATACAATTGTCACTCTTCAAAACCTGGTTGCAAGAAGAACCAGATACAAGATTTTACAAATCCTGAATTGAAATGTGATTTATAAATTTGTAGTTTGAATTCTTTTTTTTCAGGAATATATCTTAGACCTCCCACATCCTCCCACCCCACACCCAATATATTTTGGGCAACTTATTAAGCAGAAGAGATTTCCCTGTTAATTTTGGCTAAATACGTGAAAGTCTAAAAATAGTTAATTAGTGGATTTTTTTATATCAGTGACTGGAATTTGAACTTGGTATCTGACGTTTTTGTTGGCACTCTACCACCTGAGCCATGTAACCCAAATCAATGTTTAAATGTTTTGTGTTTTAATAGTTAACTCATGCAGGGACTGGGAAGGTGGCTTAGTGGTAGAGTGCTTGCCTTGCATGCATGAAGCCCTGGGTTGGATTCCTCAGCACCATATAAGCAGAAAAAGCCAGAAGTGGTGCTGTGGCTCAAGTGGTAGAGCACTATCCTTGAACTGAAGAGCTGAGGGACAGCACCCAGGCCCAGAGTTCAGGCCCCATGACTGACAAAAAAAAAAGTTAACTTATGCAATCCAGGTTTATATATAATAAAATCAACTTTAAATGGCTCAATTTTATCTGTTAGATTTTGTTCACTTCCCTTTAGATAGCTAATCTAGCCTTGTGTTGGATTTTTTCCTAATGACTCAATGATAGTAAATAGTAATGCAAACATTATCAGCTTAAAAGTTGAACTCGTAATTCAGATCACTTACATTGAAGCCAGAATCAGTTCCATCATGTACACAAACAAAAAGTAATAAACTTGTTAATTGAAAAGTCAGGAATGAAACAAGGTTACCCACTCTCTACTTGTATTCAGTATAGTGCTTGAATTCTTAGAGCAGTAAGGAAAAATAAATGGAAGGGTTACAGTTATGAAAGGAGATCAGACCCCTTTTTCAGATAATAGAAGCCCATCCTTAAAAGACATTAAAGACTACTCAGGAGTCTGAGATTTGAGGATTTGGGCTCGAAGTCAGCCTGTGTAGAAAAGACACTATCTCCAATTAACAACCAGAAAACTGAAGTGGGGCTGTGGCTCAAAATGGTAGAGCACTAGTTTTGAGCAAAAGAGCTCAGAGACAGTGGCCCAGGCCCTGAGTTCAAGTCTCCCGCCCAATAAAACCCCAAACATACTAAAGAGCCAAAACAAAACTTAAGGCTGTTAAACACTTTCCACAAAGTATCAAGATACAAAGCCAACTTACAGAAATTATTTCTCTGGGAAAGAATACAATCCCATTCATAGTAGCCTTATAAAAAAAATACCTAGGAATAAACTAAGGATGTGAAAGACTGCTATAATGAAAACTAAAACACTGAAGAAAAACATTGCAGACAGAAAATGGAAAAGACTTCTCTTGTTTATGGATTGGCAGAATTAATATGGTGAAAATGGTTAAGAATCTACAGACTCAATACAGCCCCATCAAAATTCCAGTGATTCTTGACAAAAACCAAAAAAGTGAATCCAATGAGAAATGAATAGGAAACCCATATGGAAGGGGAAAAATTGACCCAGAATAGCCAACAGGCAAGGTGTGATGGTTCCTGCCTATAATCAGTTAATCTGAAAGTGGCGATCTAGATTACAATTGAAGGATAGCTTGGGCAAAAGTTAGAGATCCTCATCTTAACCAGTAACTGGGTGCAGTGGAAATTACCTTTTCACATGAAAGAGCTACGCACTTAAGAAGAGTTAAAATGGGCTATTGTACAAGTGACAATGGAGCATGGAGGCAGTAACTGTTGCTTCACCATGCAGCTTTATAGTAAATGCTAACATAAGGACTTGAACCATGCCCATAGACTCAAGCTCACAGGCTTAATCTACTTAATACTATATTAGAGTGCTGAATTTTTTCCAAAACCAGAATAGGGGAAGATGGTCTATGCCTTTTATAAAAGTTACAAGTTGGCACAATCTTTCTTAGGATATTTTTTTCAATAAATCCCTGGAGAATTAAAAGCAATCATAAGTGTGTGGGGGAGGGGGGAATTAATAATTGTGAAGATCTTGGAAACTCTGGAAGTGGATGACAGGTAAAAGTGAAGCCCATTGTATTAGATTCCACTTTTTGTATTTAAATTTTCATGTGAACATTTTAAGATATTGAAGTGTTTAAAGCATGGTATGTAGATAAATCTATCTCTAGATATGCAGCCTCCTGAGTAGGTACAGTCTCTTGAGATTTACGTTTAGGACAATGCTTGACTGTTTCCACAGTGACTATGCTTTTTTTTTTTTTTTACTATTTTTCGCATTCTTGCCAGCAGAAAATCTTCTCAAGAATTTTGTTTTAAGCAAACACCCGCATCCTCCGAGCGTGGTAGCCGCAGACCGCACAGGTAGGCCGCTCTCTCCCCTGCCTGGCAATGCAGGAGCAACACTGAGACATCCAAAGGGCCCTGGAGTGAGGGCGCGCGCTCCCGGCAGCCCCCACGGGCGGGCACGCGCTAACGGTCCAGTTGCGCGGTCATGCGCGCCAGGGCCCCGTTCGGCTCCTGGGGCTCCAGCTGTGGGGCTCGCGGTGGAGCCCACCGGAGCGGCCGGCCGCGTGAGGTGGGTGCTCGCAGGCCGAAAGGTGGCAGCCCGGGGTAGGGGATAGAGTAGAGGTCCCCGGGAGCGAAGCTGGGGAGTCACCTGCATGGGTGTGAGGCCACCTCTGCCTTTTGACTCCTCCCGGCTCTGACGAGCGGGCCTGGACCTTGAGGTGGCGGGCCGCGGGTAGAGCGGCCCCGCGGGCTCGTGCGGCCGGGCTCTGGCGAGGCCCGGCTCCGGGGAGGCCCGGCTCCGGCGAGGCCCGGCTCCAGCGAGGCCCCCAGAGCTGCAGGGGCTCACACCAGCTGTGCCTGTTCCCCTCCCCTGGCTTCTTTTGGTGCCCATCCTGGGGCTTGAACTCAGGGCCTGGCCCCTGTCCCTGAGCTTTTGTACTCAAGGCTAGTTAGTGCTTAGTTAGTGCTCTATCACTGTAGCCACAGCTCCATTTCTGGCTTTCTGGGGGCTAATTGGAGATGAAAGGCTCATAGCCTTTTCTGCCCAGGCTGACTTCAAACTGTGAGGCTCAGATCCCAGCCTCCTGAGTATCTAGGATTACAGGTGTGAGCTTCCTTACTGATGGCCAGCTTCCTTGTAAATATACACATACTCGCATATATACATATATGTATACATACATGTATGCATATGCATGCATGCAGGTGTACGTATAAGTGTGTGCGTGTGTTTATATGTGCATATGTACACATCTGTGTGTGTACATGCATGTATATTATACATGTATATGCACATGTAAGTACCATACATGTATATACCATATATTAGGGATCCCAAGACCATGTAGGCAAGCATTGTATCACTGTTCTCCATCCCCAGTCCTTCCCTTTTGGGTTAGGATCTCCCACTGGGTAGCTCAGGCTGGCCTGGAACTTGCATGTACAATAGCTCAGGCTAGGTTCTAACTGGTGATCTTTGTGCCTCAGCTTCAGAATGCTGGGATTACCAGATGCATGGCACTAACCTATGCTCCCAAACATTTGGACTCGCTTTCTTCCCCATATTGTATAGACTGGTCACTAAGACTGGTTAAAATTCTAGAATTCATCTCTTCTGTTCCAATGCACTAGACTGGTCCATCCATACCTTAGGGATATTGCAATAGCTAACAGAACTGATAGTCAACTTTCATTGTTTCAAACCATTTTTTCACACCAACAACAGGAAGGAGTTGATATTCAAAATAAAAATCTGACCCTCAGCCTGGCACCTGACATCTGTAAATCTTTTTTTTTAATTGTGAAAATACCATACAGAAGAGTTACAATTACATGAGCCATCTGTAAATCTTATCTACTCAAAACCAGGGCAGGAAAGTCTATGAGACTCTTACCTCCAGTTAACCATTTAAAAAGCCAAAGTAGAGCTGTGCTTCAAGTGGTAGAGCACTAGCCTTGAGCAAAAAGCTTAGAGACAGCACCCAGGTTCATAGTTCAAGGCTTAGGAACAGCACCAAAATAGGGGGCAAAATATGACCCTACAGAAAATTCTGTGATTTATAAAACTTTGTAGTAGTTACTGGTGGTGTAGCTTAAGTAAAGCACCAACCATGAGCTGGAAAGCTAAGCAAGAGCACAAGGGCCTGAGTTCAAGTTCCAGTATCACCAGGCACACACACACACACACACACACACACACACACACACACTTTTTATATAATCATGATGGACTTCAAAACCCAAAACCTTGAACAATGAAGCAGGAAAGCGATGTCCTGGACATTCAATCACCTAATGTATCCTCATTCATTCTCTACAAATAAAGATTCTGGACCTACAAGAGAACAGTATCATCCAATATTTCGGTGAGCAATTTCTTTTAGTACCTAGCCTATGAAGACATATGAGGATCCAGTTCTTTTGATCTTGTAGAGGATCCTATAACTGATTACAGTGTTATTTAAGAGTTGGATAAGCTGGACAGTGGTGGCTCACACCTGTAATCCTAGCTACTAAGGAGGCTGAGATCTGAGGATCATGGTTCAAACTGAGCTTGGGGAGGCAAGTTCATGAGACTCATCTCCAATAAACCATTAGAAAACCAGAAGTGGCACTGTGGCTCAAGTGGTACAGTGCTTGCCTTGAGCTGAAGAGTACAGGGACAGTGCCCAAGACCAGAGTTCAAGCCCCACGACTGGCAAAAAAAAAAAAAAAAGTTGGATAAGTAGCTCATACTTAGCATATGTGTGATGGAGTTCAAAACTAAGTTCTTTCTGTAGGTATTTTGAGAATTGGAAAGTTGCCTGGCTTTATTTTGTTCTCAGTTTGAGTTTGTAGTTTTATTAGAGGTCTCCAAAATAAAATGTATTTCTATTTCACTTCTAGATTTCCTCATCTTGCAAGTTCACCACTTCTAATCTTTACCAGCATCTGTGGGTTAATCCATTTGTAATAGAAAAGAATTATAACTAGGAGAAAAATGTCAAATCTAAAAATGAAAGAAGCAGCCCTTATCTATCTTGACAGAAGTGGAGGCCTCCAAAAGTTTATAGATGACTGCAAGTACTACAATGGTATGTTCGGCAAATGTGACTTTGTTAAAAAGCTGGGACTGAAGCCTAGTGGTAGAGTGCTTGCCCAGCATGCATGAAGCCCTGAGATCAATTCCTCAGTACCACATACACAGAAAAAGCTGGAAATGGCACTGTGGCTCAAGGGTAGAGTGCTAGTCTTGAGCAAAAGAAGCTCAGGGACACTGAGCAGGCCCTAAGTTCAAGCCCCAAGATTGGCAACAAAACAAAACAAACAGAAACAAAAACCACTTTCAAATATTTGTCTACATATAACTATAGTGAATTTTACATTTGTGTGTTTTTATAGATTCAAAACAAAGTTATGCTGTCTATCGATTCAATATTTTGATAAATCCCTCTGATGTTGTTGAATTGGATGCTGAACTTGGAAATCACATTTTACACCATCCTTTAAAAGCTGCACAAGTTTTTCAATCAGTAAGTTAAAGAAAGAAATAATTTTATTCCATGTGGAATTTTTGGTATTCCATGTGGAATTTTTGGTAACTTGTTTATTTGAAATCACAGGTCTGTTTTATTGCTATTAAGACTCTCTCATTAATTGGACAATTGCAGACTGAAACTCAAGTAAGTTTTAATTCACTATTTTTTGTTGTTGCTTTGTTTTTGTGTTTTTGTGCTGGTCCTTGGGCTTGGACTCAGGGGCTTTGCCCCTGACCTTTTTTGCTCAAGACTGGTGCACTACACTTCCTGTGTTTTGCTGGTTAATTGGAGATAGAGTCTCATGGACTTTACTGCCCAGACTTGCTTCCCACTATGATCCTCAGATCTCAGCCTCCTGAGTAGCTAGGATTACAGATGTGGGCCACTGGCATCTGACAGTTTTAACTAACTTTACTAAAGAAAATGTAGCTGAAAACTTTCATAATTACTTGTGAATTAATATTTTCTATTCATAGTTTTATTTGCTAAAAAGACACTACATTTTCCCAAGTTCTAGAGAATGTTTTGTGTTAGATTTTTGTTACAAAACTGTGACAAGATGTCTGACATAAATAATTTAAAGGGAGGAATTATTTAATGTGGGTTCATACATTCCAATCCATCCTGGTAGGGAGAGTTTGGCAGTGCAGCGCCTGTAACATGATGATAGTTAGGATGGAGAGCAGGTAGGGAGATAGAAAAGAAGAGAATAATTCACTGTTGTAATCTCTGTTTCTCCCCGTTAGTCTATCTGGGCCCTCAGCCTATAGGATGAAACTAGTCACATTTAGGGCAGGTCTTCCCTAATAGTTAATCTTCTCTTCAAATACACTTACATATACATCCAGAGTTGAGTGTTACTAATCTCCTAGATAGTCTCATTCCACTCAAGTAGACAATCAAGATTAGCTATCACAAGTACTTTACATGTGTATCTTTATTTCCCATGTTTTCACTTGACGATTAGACATTTTTATAGTAAAATTCTTCAAACATACCCAAAAATAAAGTTATAAGTATGGTGCACCTCAGTATACTTGCCACTCAAACTCAGTGTAGCATATGTGCATCATCTATTTTTATTTTAAATATTTTGAAGGCAATCTTATTCTATTACTTTAGTGTTACTTTAGTATAATCTTCTAAAAATTGTAGATTTTATTATATAACTACAGTGCCCTTTTACAAAAGTAACAATAATTCCTTGGTTTCATCTAATATTGTCCACATTTACATTTGCCCAATTTGTTTCAAAAATACTTTTCAAGGCCTATATGGCAGTTCATGCCTGCAATCTCAGATTTGAGGGAGTCATAAATTTGGAAAATTGAGTTGAGGCCAGTCCAGGCAAAAAGTTAGCAACACCTCTCTCAGCAAATCTGCTGGGCTGGGCATATTGGTGAATATCTGTACCCCCAGCTATGGGATTCTTTACCTACTAGAAGTATAGGCAGGTGATCACTATCCAAGACTGGCCTCCAAGCAGAAAGTGCAAGGCTATCTGAAAAATAACTAAAGTGTATGGCCCAAATGGTAGAGCATTTTCCCAGCAAGGGAGAGGCCCTCAGCTTAAACTCCAATATCACTATTATCAAACAAAACAAAATAAAACAAAACTGTCTTTCAGTTAGTTTGTTCAATTCAGTATAAAAATAAGAGCCACACCTTATAATTGGTCCTCATATCTCCTTATGTTTCTTTCAATATAGAGCCATTCACTTTCCCTCTTAATACCATTGACTTTTTGAGGAGACTAGTTCATTGTCCTATAAATGTTTACATAATCTAGATTTTTCTGATTGTGTCTTTGTGATCTACTTAAATTATTCCTCTTTATTCCATAGATCTAAAAGAAGAAATAAGAAATAAGTTTTAGAAACTTAAATTCCAATTCAACTCATCTTAACAAGAATACATCAGAACTAGTGACATTTACCCCATATTGCTTTCTGTCAGGAGGATATCATGTTATCTTAATTAGTCATGTTACAATTAAGTAGTGGGTTCAGGTGATACTGTTCTGATCCCTCTATTGTACAATTGTCTCTCAGCTTTCATCTAACTTTCCCCAGAACCTATTAATTCATTAGGAGTTGGAAAATTATGATTTTCCTAATTTTACCATCTGTTGTGAATTTATTAGCCAGAATTTCTCTGTAAATTTTCTGGGTTGGGCATATAGCTCAGCAGTAGAGGTCTGCTGAGCATGTACAAAGACTTGGATTCAAAATTAAGAAAATTAAAATCCTAAATTCTTACATTTTAATTGAAAATATGTTAAACTCATTGTTTTTCCTTAAAATATACAAAAATTAAATATGTTTTCTCTCATCAACTATTTTGTTACTCTGAAATATAGTTTTCCAGGAAATTGTATAGGATACCAGATAAATGTTTTATTCTCTTTTTTTGGTCAGTCTTGGGGCTTGAACTCTGGGCCTAGGTGCTGTCCCTCAGCTCTTCAGCTCAAGGAGAGCACTCTACCACTTGAGCCACAGTGTCACTTCCAGTTTTCTGGTGGTTAATTGGAGATAAGAGTTTCATGGACTTTCCTGCTGGGGCTGGCTTTGAACCACAATCCTCAGATCTCAGCCTCCTGAGTAGCTAGGGTTACAGGCAAGGCACCAGAGTAAAGTTTTGTAAAGTTTTCATTGTTAGCTGCAGTGACTATTTTTTTAAATATGAGGAACTCATCAACTTTTTAGTATGTCTGATTTTTTTTCTTCATTTTTGACTTTCTGAGGGGAAAAAAATCTCACTATGTAGCCCAGGTTGGCCCAAGGCACTTAGAAAGCCTCCTGCCTCAACTTCCCTCAAGTATTGGGCTCACATGTGTGAGCTTCCATTGTTTTGTTTCTGATACATTTTAATGAAATTCTATCATTCATTTTGATGCATATATTTTCAGACTGTTGATCTTTGAAGAGAGCATATCCCTTCAAGTTTGCTTTTATGTCCTTTTGATACATACCATTCATTTTTTATAGTTATCTTAGTTTCTGCCATAAGAAAATGCCCCAAGTCCATCTGGAATATTTTTCATCCAAGAGTTACACCAGTCATTTCTTACTGGGAGCCCAAGTGAGAAATGACATTTAGAGGTAAAAATTTGGGCACTATTCACTATTGTTATTATTTAGTGAATGTGACCAAGCTATATGTGTTTTATATATTAGCTCATTGTGATGCTTTCAGTTAAAATGTTAGCTTATAAGATTTTTACTTGTTTAATTTTGAATCTTTTTTCTTTGGCTGGGGGTATGGGTCAGTAGTAAAGGGCAAATGTGAGGTCCTGGGTTCAAACCCTAGTATTGTTAACAATGACTTCTTTTTTTTTTTTTTTTTGGGTCCAGTCGTGGGGCCTGAACTCTGGGCCTGGGCGCTGTCCCTCAGCTCTTCAGCTCAAGGCTAGTGCTCTACCACTTGAGCCACAGCGCCACTTCCGGCTTTTTTCTTTTTGCTTATGTGGTGCGAGGAATCGAACCCAGGGCCTCGAGCATGCAAGGCAAGCGCTCTACCACTGAGCCACCTTCCCAGCCCCAACAATGACTTCTAATCATTACTTGATTTACTCTACAGTGAACTTCTGTATCATAATGAAAGTCAAATTGTATTTGCAATTTTTATTAATACTATTTTATGTTCTTACCAGATTAATATAGTGCTGAAATTAACACATTTACCTCCTCTGCCAAGTTATGGTCTTGATCTTTGTGAGTTTCCATTTGATTATACATCTCAGAGATTTTATATGATGCAAGGAATTGTGATTGCAATGACAACTGTAACCAAGTATTCACAAGGTGCAAGATTTCTTTGTTCGGATGAAGCATGTCCTCTTTCGAAGGGTAAATATTAAAATGTAAAATCAAAGCATCCAGTAATATATTGTTTAATTTAAAATCATGCTTACAGTTATTAGTTACTTCAAATTGTCATGAATGGAAATTTGATTGTCTTCTAATGTTTATAACTTTACTTGCATAATTTTGAAATGCATTTTTCCCTCCACCCAGCAGTTTAACAAGAACTCTTTTTTTTATGTGGGGGGGTCCAGTCGTGGGGCCTGAACTCTGGGCCTGGGCGCTGTCCCTCAGCTCTTCAGCTCAAGGCTAGCACTCTACCACTTGAGCCACAGTGCCACTTCTCTCTTTTTTTCTTTTTTGCTTATGTGGTGGAATCGAACCCAGGACCTCAGGCATGCAAGGCAAGCACTCTACCACTGAGCCATCTTCCCAGCCCAACAATTACTCTTATAATGTTAAAATATGGCTCTTTTCATACATTGTTTCATGTTTAGTACCTTAAGTAATCCTTTTTGGGGGGAAGGGGAGTTGAAGGAGAAGGGAAGTCTTGGGGCACTGACCCTGAGCTTTTGTGCTTAAGGCTAGGGCTCTACTAGTTGATCCACAGTTCCACTTTTGGTTCTTTGGGTGTTTTAATTGGAGATAACAGTCTCACAGATTTCCCTGCCCAGGCTGGCTTGAAACTGAGATTCTCATATCTCAGTCTCCTGAGTAGCTAGGATTATACATGTCAGCCACTAGTGCCTGGTGTCAGTCTACTCTTTAGGACATCATTTAATTTATTACCCCACCTCAATGACTTGAATGTCATGCTTCTCTTCTGTCTGTATACTCTCCAAATAATGCTACATATTGCAATTATCTGTTTCTCATTGCTACATATAAAAATTGTGTGTTAAAACAACCATATTACCAATGCTTTATTATAGTACCTAGAAGAACCACCCATGTTCCCAGCACTTGAGAGGGCAAGGTAGGAGAGTTTGAGGTCAGGCTGGGCTGCATAGAGAGATCCTATCTCAAATAAATAAATAAATAATAAAGCCATATAGTGAACATTAGTTGATTTTCTCTGAACCTAAGTGCAAAATTGAATTAAGCATGCTTTGAATTAGTGCTAAATTACTGAAAATAGCCAAATCTGAAAGCATTTTTTTTCTTTCAGGATTTCAGTATATAAGAGTACACATGCCTGGTGCTACAGAATCATCAACAGTAAGAAATGACTTTTTGTGTAATCTTTGTTCATCTTCACTTCAAGAAGACAGAAAATTTAGAGTACTTGGTGGTAAAAATGCATTTACATTTTGGAATTATAATTTTCAAAATAGTGTTTTATATTTTAATGTGAAAAGCAAAATTGCATATATGTTCTAATAATTAATTTGTTTTCTTTCTTGTTTGAAGATAAACAGATAGTTGAAATAATTACCACTAAAGTTCTTCATGCTTTTCAAGGATATATTAAAAACCAGCCATTTAGGTTTCAATCTCTTACAATTTTTCTGAGAGGTATGTAGAATTGAAGCAAATTGCTATAAAATATGGAATTGACTTATTCATGCTTTTAAACTATAAATTATTACAAGTTGTCATATTCTTAGGTTGCTATATCCTAGAGTCATAGTCATTTTATGGCAATGATCTCCCATCATCCTATATGCATGTATCTTATGTTAATATCGGAGGGTTTTTTTTTTTAAAGTCTTTGTTATTTTCTTTGGTGGCACTAGAGTTTGAACTCAGAGCCTCAGCCTCATGCTGGCTTTGGTTATTTATCAATAGGGTCTCACTTTTTGCTAAGGGCCAGTCTCAGACCTTGATCTTCCTACTTAAGTTTCTTGCATAGCTGGGTTTATAGGAGTAGCAACCACACCTAGCTTGTTTGTTAAGATATAGAGTCTTAGCTTAGCTAATTATTAGCTAATTAGATAGCTAATTTGCCCAGAGTTGTCTTGAATCAGAATCCTCTCAGTCTCTGCTTCATGGATAGCTGAGATTACAGATCTACACCACCATGCCTAGCTAATATCAAGATTATCGTTTTGCAATAAAAGCATGGTGAGAGTAAAGACTGGCCTTTTTTTATTTTTTTTTGGGGGGGGGGGTCCGGTAGTGAGGCCTGAACTCTAGGCCTGGGTGCTGCCCCTCAGCTCTTCAGCTCAAGGCTAGCACTCTACCACTTGAGCCACAATGCCACTTCTGGCTTTTTTTTTCTGCTTATGTGGTGCTGAGGAATCGAACCAGGGCCTTATGCATGCAAGGCAAGCGGTCTACCACTGAGCCACCTTCCCAGCCCCTAAGACTGGCTTTTTTGCTGCACATAGTAAAACCTCAGTATTTTAAAAATAATTGAATTAACATTTATATATGATTAACTATGGAGAATAGCATGGATAAGTACCCATGAAGCAAAAGTGGAGCTGTAGTTCAAGTGATAGAATCCAGCCATGTGTGCAAAAGCTGAGTAAAAGCTCAAGGCCTTGAGCTCAAGCCCTAATACACACACACACACACACACACACACACACACACACACACACACCATAAATAGTCTACCATGTAGGAAGAAATCACTCATAGTAACAATCACTCAGGGAACAAATGAATCTTTATCAAGAAGCCAGTGCTGTGAAAACAGGGGCTCTTTTCCTCTGGGGCAAAATTAAAGAAACTTAGAAAGAAAGATACTGGATGTAAATCATGGTTAGGAAATATAAGAGTTAGGAAAGTTAGGACAGGATGAGTCAGGCATTTACACTTAGAAATAGTAACTAAGCCAGGTACTGGTGGCTCATGCCTGTAATCCTAGCTGCTCAGGAGGCTGAGATCTGAGGACCATGGTTCAAAGCCAATCTGGGCAGGAAAGTCTGTGAGACTCTTATCTCCAATTAACCACCAGAAAACCCCAAATGGCTCTGTGGCTTAAGTGATAGAGTGTTCTCCTCGAGCTGAGGGACAGCACCCAGGCCCAGAGTTCAAGCTCCATGACAAGAAAGAAAGAAAGAAAGAAAGAAAGAAAGAAAGAAAGAAAGAAGGAAGGAAGGAAGGAAGGAAGGAAGGAAGGAAGGAAAGAAAGAAAGAAGAAAGAAAGGAAGGAAGGAAGGAAGGAGAAAGAGAAAAAGGAAATAGTAACTAATTTGTATATAGCAATGTCTATGTACCAAGCATTCTTGCATATTATTTAGTCACAGCAACCCTAACACAGGTTCTATTAACACATTCTTAAAATGTATCTCTCATTTTACAGTGTAGAAACTGAGGCACACAGTGGTTAAATACCTTGTCCAAGGTCACACATAACTGGAAGTTGGCTCAAGTGGTAGAGAGCAAAGTCACACAGCTAGTAAGCTGTACAGACAAGACTCAGGCAATCAGCCTCAAAGTCTGTGTTTTCAATTTATCTCTATCTCTATCTCTATCTATATCACACTCAACATCAAAATATAAGTGGCTGCTGGATGCCGGTGGCTCACACCTGTAACCCTAGCTACTCAGGAGGCAGATATCTGAGGATCACAGTTCAAAGCCAGACCGGGCAGGAAAAGTCCATGAGTCTCTTATCTCCAATAAACCACCACAAAACTGGAAGTGGTGCTATGGCTCAAGTGGTAGAGTGCTTGCCTTGAGCTGAAGCGCTGAGGGATAGCGCCCAGGCCTAGAGTTCAAGCCCCCATGACTGACAAAAACAAGAACAAAAACAACAAATATTTATTTATTTATTTATTTATTTAAGTGGCTATCCAGTTTGCGTTTTTGGTTTTGGTTTTGTGCAGGTCCTGGGGCTTTAACTCAGGGCCTGGGTTCTGTCCCTGAGCTTTTCTGCTCAAGATCAGTACTCTACCACTTGAGACACAGCTCCACTTCTGGATTTTGGGGGGGAGTAGTTAAGTAGATTGAGTCTTGCAAACTTGTCTGCCGGGGCTGGCCTCAAATCCACAGTCCTTGGATCTCAACCTCCTGAGTAGCTAGGGTTACAGGAGTGAACCACCAGTGCCCTGTTCCAGCTTCCATTTTAGTACAAAACTTTTCTCCAAATAAACTCTTCTGAAGAACTCAAATGTTTATAATCCCAAAGGCAGGATGATTGCAAGTTTAATGGCATCCTGAACTACAGAGCAAGACCTTATCAAAAAGAAATTATTTAAATTTAAATTATTTATAATTAAATGACTAGATGCAGGGCTTTTGGATTGATAGTAAAAGAGTTATCTAGTCTTCCCAGTATCCTTATTTTCCTCTTGATTAAGGACTAGGAACTATGAACTAATTTTTCTATGAACTAAGGACACATCAACCAAGGTCTAAGATTATAGGAAACAGTTGAAAAACTATTTATGATAGTCTCTTTTAATTTTCTTCCTGTAATTAATTTTCCATCCTTTATTTAATTTATTTCTGTTTAATGTTGTTTGTTGTTAGTGTTTCTGTTTGTTTCTATACTTTCTCAATTGTGGAGCATAGCTCTCTACTTTCATGTCTACAGGATACACCAGAATACTTTTTATAGTTGAAGTATGAGGGAGGGAAAGAGAGAGAGGATTATCTATCTGTCTATCTATCTATCTACCTATCTATCCAGAGAGAGGGAAGGAGTCATTGATCTACATGTAGAGAAGTTAATCTTTGCTTCTCCTTATAAACCCTTTTTTTCTGTTAAGACTAACCAACATAGCCCAGTGTCGGTGGCTCATGCCTGTAATCCTAGCTACTCAGGAGATTGAGATCTGAGGATTGCGGTTCAAAGCCAGCCAAGGCAGGAAAGTCTGTGAGACACTTATCTCCAATAAACAACCAGAAAACCAGAAGTGGCTCTTTGACTCAAGTGATAGAGCGCTAGCCTTCATCTGAAGAGCTGAGTGACAGTGCCTAGGCCCGGAGTTCAAGCCCCATGACCAAAAAAAAAAAAAAAAGACCAACCAACTTTTGATTTTGGAATGGAGACTCATATTTTTTATTGTGTTTTTTAAAAATAAACTTTGAACTCATCCAAAATTTTGCCCACGGGGCTGGAGGTGTGAGAGAAGAATCTAGACTCCTGTAAAAGGGTAGATCTTGGAGGCAAGTGGAACTACATATAGATATCACTTCTCCACTTAATAGTTATTTAGTTCTTAGTCACTTGCCTTCAAAGTTTTTCATGTATAGAGATTAAAAAAACTGTTTACAGTTTTTAACTAATAAGTAACTATAAGTAGCTTACATATATTATAGTGAGTGACACCTTTCAACATTACTTTGTTTCTGAATAATACTGTTACTTATGAGATCATTTTATAAACATTTAATGCACATATATTACATATTAAACTAGATAATCTGTTTTCTCTTGATAACATTTTAAGAAAGTAGTTGCTATATCATATGCTTCTTGAAGGTAATTCCTATTGCATACATGTATCAGTATTTATCAGCAGTAGAATTGCCCCAGTTTGCATTATGGGTGCCATTGTACATTGAAATATACTAAACAAATATATCTGAATATATTATTAATAATTCAACTACTGAATTGTTACTGGTTCTGGACCTTTGAATCCTATGACCACGTGAAAGTTTAATTTAGTGAATATTGTTTTCTTTTGTGTTTAATTTTAGATGAATTAGTAAACAAGATGAAAATGGGAAATGAATATAAAATTGTTGGAATTCCAGTCTGTGTCAAAACCTCACAAACTTCTGTTTGTATAGAAGCAAATAGCATCACTCTTTGTAATCCAAATGGTAAAGAAAATCATGTCTTAACAAATTTTTACATTTAATTCCATTTGTTCAATAAATAGTTATTATTTACTTTGTGATGGGCATTTTCCTTAGCAAGTAAGAACAGGGTCATAAATAGGACAGTCAAGGTTCCTACTCTTAAATCATATAGTAGATGGTCAGTAAAAAAAAACTAATCAATAAAATAGTTTATGATATTAAATGCTATGGAGGAAGAGACAAAGAAAAAGAAGGAAGGGAGAGAAGAAAAAGGGAGAGACACAGGGAGTGAAGAAGGGAAAGGCAAAAATGTTTTAGGATACCAAGAATTAGAGATCAGCAGAGAGCCTTTAAACATTAGTTTTTCTTTTATAGCTGAGACAATTTGAAGTAACATGTGGTCTAAAGAGCTAAATAAATAGCTCTTTCATTTTTAATTGTTTTATTATTTTGTATGTGTTAGTTTGGGGGCTTTAATACAAGGCCTGGACACTATCCCTGAGCTTTTTTGCTCAAGGCTAGCACTTTACCACTTGGAGACACAGCTCTCCTTTCAGCTTTTGGGTAGTTAATTGGAGATAAGAGTCTCATGAGCCCAGTATTGATGGCTCATGCCTATAATCCTAGACTTTCCTGCCCAGGCTGGCTTTGAACTGTGATCCTCAGATCTCAGCCTCCTGAGGCACCAGTACCTCCTTCTTTATGTAAATTCTGAAATAAGAGAGTAAAATAATGGCAGCTTTATGTAAATTCTGAAATAGGACAGTAAGATAGTGGCAGCTTAGAGGCCAGAATATCACCTTTATTACTAATAATTCCTTTAAAAACTCCAACATAACCTAGCATTAGATAAACAAAAATGAGAGATTTACTTTTTTCACTTGGTTTACAAATATCTAAAGATAGAAAAACCTGGTTAAGTCTTGAACAGAGAAGGATTTTTAGAATCTATGTAACCATCTACAGTAATAAAGGCCCACGTTGAATTTAAACGTAAAAGGATTTTGCATACCTTGACTCATCTTGAAGAGAACCAGTAAAAGATCAAAAATGTTGACGAAGGGGTTAATGTGGCTTAGTGGTAGAGTACTTGCCTAGCATGCATGAAGACCTGGGTATGATTCCTCAATACCACATAAACAGAAAAAGCCAGAAGTGGCGCTGGCTCAAGTGATAGAGTGCTAGCCTTGAGCAAAAAATGAAGCTCAGGGACAGTGCCCAGGCCTGAGTTCAGTTGCCAGGACTAGCAAAAAAAAAAAAAAAAAGTTGACAAAAAGCAAGCATTGATAGACCATAGTTTAGTGATCATTTACATGGATATTTGTGTAAGCAGGTACTGGCGTTGATCTCAGGGCCTTGATCTCTTTTTTAGCTTTCTTGTTCATGGCTGGTGCTCTACCACTTGAACTTTATCTCCAGTCTAGCTTTTTGCTGGTTAGTTGGAGATTGAGTCTTGTAGACTTTCTCCCAGACTGGCTTTAACCTTGATTCTCAGGTCTCAGTCTTCTTAAGATTACAAATGTGAGCCACTGGCACCTGACTGATCATTTATTTATTTATTTATTTGTTGGTCACGGGGCTTGAACTCTGGGCTTGGGCACTGTCCTTCAGCTCTTCAGCTCAAAGCGAGCACTCTACCACTTGAGCTACAGCGCCACTTCTGGTTTTCTGGTGGTTAATTGGAGATAGGAGTCTCACGGTCTTTCCTGCCTTGGGCTGGCTTTGAACTGTGATCCTCAGATCGCAGCCTCCTGAGTAGCTAGGATTACAGGCGTGAGCCACTGGCGCCCAGCTTCATTTATTTTTTAACTGTGAGTTGTTTTAAGATTTTTAAAATTTGTTTGCAGAATACAACTTATATATAGGCTGGAAAGTGAGCTTTCTTATGATGAAGTCTAGAATTTGGCAGATTTAAGCAAACAAAGGTAGAAAGAACTAGACAGAAGTAGACATCCTAGTTCCTGGACATGGATGAATACAGTAAATGTTTGCTCTGTCTGTGATGGCTGCCCAAAAGGAGAGAGTCTAGATTGTTCATGCATACTTGTTCTTCCCAAACTGACAAACTGAATAAATCATTTCCTTTTTAGTTGAAAAATATGAGAAGATCTAGAATGTTATAGTACAATATATGTGCTTTCAACATAGTACACTATACATTTTTCTTTAAATGAAGCATTCTAGTATTTCTCATTCTTCTCATTAGTCTTCATTGAAGATTTTAATATTTCAAACATGAAGAATATAGGAGCAGAAATACAGGAGCCCCATGATCTGCTTGTTCACAAGGTTTTCAAAGAAGAGTGAGATAGATGCTTTCAACTTACACCTAATCTATGTGGGCACCTGTGGCGACTGATTTATCTCATTTCCTGGGATAAAATAGAAAAGAATGACCACCAATCATAATTTCATGTCATTATAAAAAATGCAGTTGGGCACCAGTGACTTATGCCTATAATCCCAGCTACTTGGGAGGCTGAGATCTGAGGAGTGCTTGAAGCCAGTTGGGTCACAAAAGACTGTGACTCTTTATCTACAATAACCACCAAAAAGCCAGAAGTAGATCTGTGGTTCAAATAGTAGAGCCCTAGCCCTAAGAACAAAAGCTCAGGGCGAGGCCCTTGGCCTTGAGTTCAAGCCCAGGACTGACATACACATACTCATACCCATACGCACACACACACACACACACACACACACACAATTCAAATATGACAAATTTTAGAAAACTAAAATTTGATACTTTGGATAAATGGAACCAAATAACTGCCATCCTATTTTTGCCTTATTTCTTTTAGTTCCTTCAGGAATTAGTGATAACTTCAGATGTCTTCTCTCCTTGACTTCCACCTCATGCTGGAAATTTACAGCAATACTTGCCAATATCTTTGCATCACAGATTGTTCCTCCTGGTACTTACAATTTGCTTAAACTCTGTTTGTTGCTGAGTCTAGTACAGCCAAGTGACCGTAACAAGGAGCTTGAAGATTACTTGGATATTTTAATTGTAACAAGTGATACTATACTTGTAGACAGGTAAAGTATGTGTCATGAAAATTTCAAATTATAATCGATTACAGAACTGCTTAAGTCTCTCCCATTAGTATTATAAAGGGAATATTTCAAACCCATCCAAATTATATAGTATTTGTATCTATTTTTATCTATGAAGTTCAAAACTTCTAAAACATGAATTGAGAGCTGGAATATATGCTTTCAGTATTTTGAGAATCTAACCACTCAACATTTCAACCTATTTCCTCACTCCTTTTCCAATATTATCTACTCAGTGCTCTGATTTTATAGCTCCCTCTCTCCTCCCTCCTTCCCTCCCTCTCTTTCCCTTCCTTCCTTCTTTCCTTTTTTTTTAATTTGTTTGTTTTGGGTGGTACCAGGGCTAGGACTGAGGGCCGTATGTTCTTGAGCACCTCCTCTGGCATTTTGTTGGTTAATTGGAAATATAGTCCCTAGACTTTTCTGCCTGGTCTGGCTTTGTAAACCCCAATCCTCTAGGTCTCAGCCTCCTGGAAATAATAAATAATGGGCTGGGCATGGTGGTGAATGTCTATAATTCCTATTAGATGGGAGGAAGATATGGGAGAATTATTATTCTAGTCCAGCCCAGATAAAACAGGAAGATTCTATCTCAAAACAAACCAAGTGTCATGGTAGAGTTATGTGGAGGTAGTCTGAAACCAGTGCAAAATCACAAGACACTATCTGAAAAATAAAAAGGGCTGGAGGTATGGGTCAAGTTGGTAGAGCATTTAGCTAGCAATTCCAAGGTCATGAATTCAAACCCCATTTCTGCCAAAATATACGTAAATATTCACAGGGGTTTTTTTTGTTTTTTGTTTTTTTGGGTTCAGTCGTGGGGCCTGAACTCTGGGCCTGGGCGCTGTCCCTTGGCTCTTCATCTCAATGCTAGTGCTCTACCACTTGAGCCACAGCGCCACTTCCAGCTTTTTTTCTTTTTGTTTATGTGGTGCTGAGGAATCAAACCCAGGGCCTCCTGCATGCAAGGCAAGCGCTCTACCACTAAGCCACCTTCTCAGCCCCTCACAGGGTTTTTTATGTTGATTTGTTTTGTTGGTCCGGTCATGGGCCTGAATTCTGGGCCTGGGTACTGTCCCTCAGCTCTTCAGTTCAAGGTTAGTGCTCTACCACTTGAGCCACAGTGCTACTTCTGGTTTTTTCTGCTTATGTGGTGCTGACGAATCGAACCCAGGGCCTCATGCATGCAAGGCAAGTACTCTACCACTGAGCCACCTTCCCAGCCCCTCACAGATTTTTATTGAATGTCTTGTATGCAATTCTGAAACAACAGAAAGGTAGAGAGCCTGGCACTAGTGGCTCATACCAGTAATCATAGTTACTTAGGAGGCTGAGAAATTTGGATCTTTGGTTCAAAGTCAGCCCTGACAGGAAAGTTCATGAGAGAATTAATAACCAAAAAAGCAATAAGTGGAGTTGTGGCTCAAGTAGTAGAACACTAGTCTTTTTTTTTGGTCCGGTCGTGGGGCTTAAACTCGGCCTGGGCACTGTCCCTCAGCTCTTCAGCTCAACGCTAACAGTCTACCACTTGAGCCACAGTGCCACTTCCGGCTTTTTGTTTTTCCTGCTTATGTGGTGCTGAGGAATTGAACCCAGGGCCTCATGCATGCAAGGCAAGTGCTCTACCACTGAGCCAACTTCCCAGCCCCTAGAACACTAGTCTTGAGTGAAAAGTTTTGGGACAGTGTCCAGGCTTTGATTTCAAGCCCCAGGACACCAGCACACACACACACACACACACACACACACACACACACACACACACACACACACACACACACACACACACACACACACACAGAATGAATTTTAATTTAAAATGTTAATATTAACTTAAGTGAATAGATACTGTTTTGCTAAAATTAAAACATCACTTGATACAAATGTCTTGCTAAATGCTATAGATTATACAAATCTAATCTTTCACTAACAGAATTTGAAAGTATGTTTCCTAAACTTTATTTTCTTATTTTAGTTATATAAAGGGGGAATTTCACTATGATATTTTCACTGTATTCATTGAGAATCAATATTTTAATACCAAAAGAAGAAGAAAAAGAGTATTTTTAAAGATTTGAATTTGAGAAATGAAGAATTTGAGGCAATTAGCAAAGATATTAGAAACCAAAAAGATGTATCAAGAGTTTCCATGATACAGAAACAGCATCAATAGTCATGATGCAGTACTGGCAAGCCTATGCAAAAATTGTGAGTGTGCAAAAATAAAGTAATCCATAAATAGAAATGGCTCTGTTCAAGTGTGATCTCTCTAAGCTTTCTCTGATACCTATTCAGGAAAAACAATACTTTCTTTGAATATTCTCAAGATATTAGTTTAGTACTTATCACATTATATATTAGTTTTTTTATGTCTTTCTAGGCTATGAGTTGTCCAAATGAATGACTAAGTTTCTTTTTCCTTAAATTTTTTTTGTGCTGCTCCTGGGGCTTGAACTCAGAGGCTGGGCACTGTCCTTGAGCTTTTTTTCTCAAAGCTAGTATTCTACCATCTGAGTCACAGTTCTACTTCCAGCTTTTTGCTAGTTAATTGAAGATAAGAGTCTCATGGACTTTCCTGCTTGAGCTGGATTCAAACCACAATCTTCAGACCTCAGCCTCTCTGAGTAGCTAGGATTACAAATGTGAGCCACAAGCACTCAGCACTCATATATGTCTTTATCCCTAGCACAAAATTCATAATACTCAATAATATTGGATGTAGTTTAATTGTGTAGTAGTTAACACATTATAACTTCTGAAAATCAACTAATAAAATGTAATAATGAATAATTTATTTTCTCCCTAGACTTTTGAATTTTAGCATAAACCTTGTTCCCCGTGGTATTCGTCATCCTGTCTCTACTGAAATTTTTCCTACTCTATCCAAAAATAAATATGGAACTGGAGCAGTTAGCATTCAAGCAGGCAGTGCTTTGCTAGCTAAAGGTGGTATCTGCTTTATAGGAGACATAGCGTCTCACAAAAAAGATAAACTTGAACAACTTCAATCAGGTAAACAATATTTTTTTTCAAATTATTTTTCATGTGTTTAACTCAGTATGAAGTGTTACTTAAAAGTGAAGGCTGTTTTACAGGGCTGGAGGTGTGAGTTATTTGGTAGAGCATCTGCCTAGCAAATGCTTTAAGTTCAAGCTCTCTTCACTCCCTCCCCCTTTCTCTCCCTCCCTCCCTTCCTTCTTTCTTTCTCTGGTACTGGGGATCAAACCCAGGACATTGCATCTGCTAGGCAAGTACTTTTCCACTAAGCTATACCCCAACCTGTGTTCAGACTTTTCTCCCACCAAAGGAGAGAACATTGTATACATTTTAGGAGTTGAAAATGATATCAAACATTTCTCTGTTGTATAAATAAGAACAGAAATTGAATGTGTAAATGCACCACTTCAGCATTTGCTGTGCATTGTGCTAGTACATAACTGTATTAGGCCAAGTTTATTTCTTCTTCTGATCTTATTGAATTAGCTTTCAGCACAATTTGAAGAGCAGTAGTGAGAGAGAATATCCTTGCACGTTCCTCATTTTAGTAGCAAAACCACTAAAGCTTCAGGGCTGGGAAGGTGGCTCAGTGGTAGAGTGCTTGCCTTGCATGCATGAGGCCCTGGGTTCGATTCTTCAGCACCACCTAAGCAGAAAAAGCCAGAAGTGGTGCTATGGCTCAAGTGGTAGAGCGCTAGCCCTGAGCTGAATAGCTGAGGGACAGGGCCCAGGCCCAGAGTTCAGGCCCCACTTCCACAGCCAACAACAACAACAAAAGCCACTAAAGCTAATTATACATTTTTGTCGATTTTTAAAAATCAAATTGTGGAAGTTTTTCTTATTTAATTTTGTTGTAAAGGTGATGTACAGAGAGGTTACAGTTACATAAGCAAGGTAATGAGTACATTTATTGTCGAACATTGTTACCCCTACCCTCATTTTCCTCCCACTTTCTCTCCCCTGGTTCTCCTCCCAAGTTGTAAAGTTCAGTTCTATCACCCTTGGTTCACCCTTGGTCCTTTGTTTCACCATTTTTAGTATATGTCTAGGAAAGTCCTAGCAGAGGATCACAAAAGTGCAATAGCTATGTATACATGACCATATAAAAATATGGAAGATTTTTTTATTCCTAGTTTGATGACAGCTTTTATGATGAATGTTAGATTTTGTCAAATGATTTTTTTCTGAATCTATTATTCTGCTATGTAATTTTTCTCCTTTAGCCTATGGATCTGCTAGCTTGCATTAACTGATTTTGAATGTTGAACTAGCATTGCATACCTGGAATAAACCTTACTTGATTGGGGTGCATGATTGTGCGTGTGAGTGTGTGTGTGTGTGTGTGTGTGTGTGCGCGCGCGCATACACACACACATTCATGCACCAGTACTGGGGCTTGAACTCAGGGCCTGAGCATGTCGCTTAGCTTTTTTGCTCAAGGCTAGTGCTCTATTACTTGAGCCACTGCTCCACTTCTAGATACCTTATTGAGTTTGGTATGTTATTATTTTGTTGAAGACTTTTGCATTTTTATTCACTAGAGCTATTGTATTCTTTGTTACAATGTCTTTGCTTAGTTTAGGTTTGATACTATTCAGGTTTGATGCTAGTTAGCCCAGAATTAAAACTAACAAGGACAAGGATGGCTATACTATTGATTGGGCAGTGGATGGCTGGGAAGGTGGCTCAGTGGTAGAGTGCCTTGCATGTATGAGGCCCTGGGTTCAATTCCTCAGCACCACATAAGCAGGAAAAAAAAGCCAGAAGTGGCACTGTGGCTCAAGTGGTAGAATGCTAGCCTTGAGCTGAAAAGCTGAGGGACAGCGCCCAGGCCCAGAGTTCAGGCCCAACTGGCAAAAAAAAAAAAAAAAGAGCACTGGGTGCCATGCCTTCTTAGCATACCATCATAAATATGCAAGAAAACTCAGGGCATGTAGTACATTACAAACAAGAAAATGCAGAAATGAACAACACTATATATGGTCAATTGATTTTGTTTATAATGGCATCAAAGTGAAAGGAGTTTTTTCAACAAGGGATGGTGGAACATCTGGCTATATATATGAAAAAGCTTATTTCATAATTCATACTAATTCATATCATAACTATATGCAATAATTAATTTGGGATGCCTTATACAAATAAAAGTTAAAACTAAGCCGGGCGCTGGTGGCTCACGCCTGTAATCCTAGCTACTTAGGAGGCTGAGATCTGAGGATCACGGTTCAAAGCCAGCCCAGGCAGGAGAGACCTTGAGACTCCTATCTCCAATAAACCACCAGAAAACCAGAAGTGGCGCTGTAGCTCAAGTGGTAGAGCGCTCGCCTTGAGCTGAAGAGCTGAGGGACAGCGCCCAGGCCCAGAGTTCAAGCCCCACGGCCAACCAAAAAAAAAAAAAAGTGAAAACTAAAACTGTAAAGCTGCTAACAGAAAATATAGAAGCCAGGTACAGTGGCACACACCTGTAATCTCAGCGACTTATGAGGAAGAGATAAGGAGGATTCAAAGCCTGGAAAACAAGTGAGACTGTCACAATAAAAAAGCAAGGTGTGGACAGGGAAGGTAGCTTAGGTAGCTTCAGGCATACCTGAAGCCCTGGGTTTGATTCCTCAGTATCACATGCTCAGAAAAAGCCACAAGTGGTGCTCTGGCTCAAGTGGCAGAGTGCTAGCCTTGAGCAAAAGAAGCTCAGAGACAGTGCCCAGGCCCTGAGTTCAAGCCCCAGGACTGGGAAGAAGGAAGGAAGGAAGGAAGGAAGGAAGAAAGGAAGGAAGGAAGAAGGGAGGGAGGGAGGGAGGAAGGAAGGGTGTATTGTGGTTCATTCTGTACATTCAGTTATACATGAAACCATCCCCAAGCAAAAGCAAGACTTTGCCTGAAAAATATACTAAATCAAAAATGTTTAGGTTATATCTCAAGTGGTAATATTTTATTTTATTGATGGGATTTATCTTATTGATGACTTATGATGTTAAGCATGTGTGTTTATTGGTTTGGGGTTTTTTCCCCCTTATGTGATCTTGGAGGAGTACCCCAATTCAAAGCTAGGTGCTGACAAAAATGTGAGAACCAATTGGGCACCGGTAACTCACACCTGTAATCCTAGCTACTCAGGAGGCTGAGATCTCAGGATCATAGTTCAAAGCCAGCCCAGGCAGGAAAGTCTGTAAGACTCCTATCTCCAGAAAACCAGAAGTGGCACTGTGGCTCAAGTGGTAAAGTGCCTGCCTTGAGCAGAAGAGTTGAGGGACAGCACCCAGGTGCAGAGTTCAAGACCCACAACTGACCAAAAAACAAACAAAAAAGTGAGACCCTACCTGAAAAATAAAGCAAAAAAGGGCTTGGCAGTGTTATAATGGTGCTTGACTAGCAAGTATGAGGCTCTGAGTTCAAACTCCAGTACTGTCAGTGGAAAAGTAAATAAAATCTGTCATCATTTTTTTTCTTTTTGTTTTTCTTTCTTTTTTTTTTTGTGGTCCTAAGGATTAAACTCAAGGGCCTAGCTAAGCAGGTGCTCTTCCACTTGAACCACACCTCCAGCATCTTTTTCTATGTTATGTTCAAGATAAGGTCTAGCTTTATTTTATTCCCAGGCTGAGCTGGCCTGGAGCCCTTTTACTTGTGCTTCTCTATGTGACTAAAGATGACAGAGGCATACTACCATACACATCCATTGGATAAAATGGAGTTTAATGAACGTTTATGCTTAGGCTGATCTTGCACTATGATCCCCTCATCTCTGCCTCTCTAGTAGCTAGGATTACAGACATAGTAGTCATACCCAGCTACAGTTTCAAATATATATGTAATGTTAGGGCTGGGGATGTAGCTCAGTTGAGAGTGTGCTAAACTAGCATGTGTGAGACCCTGGATTTGACCCTAGCACCACATATAGATAGGCCTTTTGTTTTTATTTTTCTTTTTTTAGTAAGGATATCACTTTGTCCAAGCTTTCTTCAAACTTTTGATCCTTCTGCCTCTGCCTCCCTAGTAGTGTGGTACAGACTTTCACTTACAATGCCTGGCTGTGTGATGTTAACCTTGATTTCCCAACTTGGTTAGATTGAGAAGCACCTAGGAGATAAAGCACACCTCTGGGTGTATCTGTGGGGGCATTTCCAGAGGAGTAAGAGGGAAAACCTCCTCCAAATGGCATGGTACCAAATACCCCAAATGGGAAGAAATACCATTCTATGGGTATGACCCAGATAAAGTAAAGGGAGAAAAAGAGAAAGGTGCAGGCAGATATTCTCTCTCTGCTTCCTGTCCACCATGATACACACTGCATTACTTCATTCTATCCTCTCCACCATACAAGACTGAAAACTCTGAAACTGTGAGCCAAAATAAATAATTTCTTCCTATAAGTTGTTTATGTCAGATTTTTTAAATTATTTTTTTTATCGGTCATAGGGCTTGAACTCTGGGCCTGAATGCTGTCCCTCAGCTCTTCAGCTCAAGGCTAGCTCTCTACCACTGGAGCTACAGCGCCACTTCCGGTTTTCTGGTGGTTTATTGGAGATAAGAGTTTCACAAACTTTCTTACCCAGACGGGCTTTGAACCATGATCCTCAGATCTCAGCCTCCTGAGTAGCTAGGATTACAGGCATGAGCCCCCGGCACCTGGACAGATATTTTTTTGACTTACACACATAGACACAAGAGACTATCATCATGAATGGGAAAAAAATGGTCAATTTGAAAACTATTTGGGAAATAGAATCCTAAGAATAGAGTTAAATCTCTAGATTGAACGGCTATAAAGAATGAAGGAAGACAAAGTGGGGCACTGGTGGCTCATACCTGTAATTCTGTCTACTCAGGAGGCTAAGATCTAAAGATCAAGGTTTGAATCCAGCTTGGGCAGACAAATCCTGGAGATATTCTCTCCAGTGAGTCCAGTAATCAGCAAAAAGCCAGTAGTAGTGGTGTGGCTTAAGTGATAGAGTGCCAGCCTAGAGCAAAAAGTCCAGGCAAGGGAGTGAGGACCTTCATTCAAGACCCAAAAGAGGATGACAGAAGGCTAGAAAGGAGAATAAGATGTTTCCAATTCTAATGCAAGTGGATAGTATGCCACCAATTATGAACAACAAGCAGAGCTATGGGGAATGGACTTTGGTGACTCTAGTTTTGAGTGTGTTGAATTTGACGTCATTGTATGCAATTTTATATATAGAAAAGAGTATCAGGCTAGGAATGTGGCTCAGTGGTAGAGTGCTTGCCAACATGCATGAAGCCCTGGGTTCAATTCCCAGTACCACATAAACAGAAAAAGCTAGAAGTGGCACTGTGGCTTAAGTGGAAGAGTGCTAGCTTTGAGAAAAAAGAAGCTCAGGCACAGTGCCCAGGCCCTGAGTTCAAGCCCAAGACTGGCAAAAAAAAAAAAAAAAAGTATTGATTGCATCCTCTCTTATAAGTCTGCATATGGCCAATCTCTTCATCCTCTGTCATTTCCACCCAGATGCCTAACAACAATTCCAGCGCATGCTTTCACCTGGTGGTGGCTTTCATAAAGTCAAGAGATGTAGAAACATTTAATATTTTTCTTGTCTTTGTTCTTTTTAATGCAGATGGTCTAATGAAAGTTTTTCATAAAGTATTAAATTTATTTGTGTCTTCACTAACTGAAGTGTAGTAAACATTTATGTCAACATAAAATTTTGTTATTAGTTTGTAGACATCTAGGCCAAAATTAAAAAATAATAAACAAATGTCTTCTGTCTTAGTTCTAGAGAACAGAAGTATTACAGTATACATTCCAGGAAAGAAGTTTGGGGATGATGCTGATCAGCAAATGACTTTTCCAGTTCAGTGCAGTTTTTGGTCTTTTGTTGATATGGATTCATCTTCCAGGAGAAATGCACAGAAACCCAACACTCTAATTGGTCAAATGGTAAGGCATATATTTATTTTATTGTTAGACTTTTGTGTAGGGAATTTCATCACAGATTTTAATGATTTTTATTTCTTCTTTTTCTTTCTCCCTTCTATCTACTTTCTTTTTACTTGCAGAACTGAGGTTTGAACTTAGGGACTTGACTTGCTGGAAGTGCCCTACTACTTGCTACAACTAAATAACAACCCAATTGCTGAAAATGTTTGTTTTTGTGTTTTATTTTATTTTGAGGTTTTTTTGTGGTACTAAAGTTCACACCCAAGGCCCCAAAAATGCTAAGCAAGTGCTCTAAAATTTTAGTAATTCCTTTAGTCATGCAAATCAGGTGTCTCTTCAGTAGAATAGGGAGATGAAGTGTCTTTAGTAAATTATATTGCTCTCCACAAGTTACCAGGCTATTCAGATATTGTAAACAATATAAATAACAAATTATATGTAGTGATTAATTTGTAGTTATTCAGATATTGTAATTAGAAACTTCCAAATTGGGAAAATTCCAGAACTTACTGTTTAACTTACTTTTTGGTTTGAAATAGGATTGCAGTTTGATTCCAACTAACCTTGTAGACGCATTTGGATTATTGATAAACTGCAATGAATCATCTCCTTGTCACCAACTTCTTCCTTCTGTGCAACATGCTTTAAAGAAAGCTATTGATCCTGAAGGACTACTTTATTTAGCTTCTAAACAGTTCACAACTGAAGATTTTGAAAAGGTAAAGGTTGACAAAGTGGCTATCCAGAAAGCCTTTGTTAAAGTTTTCCAGTTTAAATAGAAATCTCTTTGAATATTCTTTTATTCCAATTTCCCATTTTAAATACATTAGAGACATTGCATAGGAATTATTTAAGATTATAATTACATAAACAATTGTGTAGGGAATGTGATACTAATATGTTGTTTATTTTTTGTCTAAATTGCATAGCTTAAAGAAGCTCTATGAAAAGAAAACTGAAATAGAATATTTCTGTAGAAAATTATGACAGGCTGTATGAATACGCATTAATTTTCATTTTAAGATTATTCAAAAGGATTTCTATTATGTGAATACCTTTAGAGTTCTAATTCTCAAGAATATTTAGTATACCTTGATAATCCATTTTAATATTTTGATATTATGAGAATATGTGTGCCATGTTCAGAAACCCAAAGAACAGATGGCTTAGATTTAGTAATGATTATCATAGCTATTAAACTGGCACACAGAAGTTTCAGTTGAAGCCCTTTATTCAGGAATCTGTTCATAGTAAACTATCCAGGTAGGATAAATAAAAAGCAGGGGATATGGAGAAATTAGTCTATAGCTACTAAATTTTCCCCTCATACCTTTCTTCCTTGTAAGAATAAATAAAAGTTTAAAAATACATTAGGGATATTACAGAAATGAATCTTTCATTATTGTAAGTTTTATTTTTCTGTTTTAGTATATAAGAAAAGAGTAGTTAGCCTCTACGTATTAAGAGTACTGAATAGAGACAAACTAATGATCCAGAAAAAAATTTTCCCATATTTTTCTTCAAAACTCTATGTATGTCAGGTACCAGTGGCTTACACTAATACTAGATGCTCAGGAGGTTGAGAACTTAAGCCAGCTCAAGCAGACAAATCCCTGAGACTCCTATTTCCAATAAGCCAGCAAAAAGCTAAGCTGTCGTTCAAATGGGAGGGTGAGACCTGGAGTTCAAACCCTAGCACAAAAGAAAAGCCAAAAAGCTATGTGTTTATTAATTAGTTGGGCATTTACTAAATACTTTGCATTTATAATCCTATTTCTAGTCTTTCCTATTCTCACAGAAATGTAAATTTATTCTTTAAATAATTTACCTTTTAGGGCTTGGAATGTGGCTTAGTGGTAAAGTGCTTGCCTGGTATGCATGAAGCCCTGGGTTCAATTCCTCAATTCTACATAAACAAAAAAAGCTGGAAGTGTTGCTGTGGTTCAAGTGGTAGAGTGCTAGCCTTGAGCAAGAGAAGGTCTAGGTCCAAAGCTCAAGCCCCAGGACTGGCAAAAAAGTTTACCTTTTAAATGAGATAAAAATAAGATGCATGAAACAGTTAAGAATCAACTTAAGGGGCTGGGAAGGTGGCTCAGTGGTAGAGCACTTGCCTTGCATGCTCAAGGCCCTGGGTTCGACGAACCTCAGCACCACATAAGAAAAAAGCCGGAAGTGGCGCTGTGGCTCAAGTGGTAGAGTGCTAGCCTTGAGCTGAGGAGCTGAGGGACAGTGCCCAGGCCCAGAGTTCAGGCCCCACGACCGGACCCAAAAAAAAAGGATCAACTTAAGTGCTAAGGAAAGTGTGCTGTCTATTAAGTAATTGGGAAATTTAGAAATAAAGGTATTGATGTAAAATGCAAAAGTTGAGATTTCGAAAAGGAGATGGGACTTCAGTTGGGCCATAAGAAGAAGTAAAATTTATTTATTTATTTTTTTTGGGGGGGTCCGGTCATGGGGCTTGAACTCTGGGCCTGGGCACTGTCCCTCAGCTCTTCAGCTCAAGTCTAGCGCTCTACCACTTGAGCCACAGCACCACTTCCGGCTTTTTTCTTTTTGCTTATGTGGTGCTGAGGAAACGAACCCAGGGCCTCGAGCATGCAAGGCAAGTGCTCTACCACTGAGTCACCTTCCCAGCCCCAGAAGAAGTAAAATTTAGATGGCAGGATTTTCTATACAGAAATAATAGTTGAAGCAAATACATAGAAGTGCAAATCAGTGTGTATGTATCACTATGAGAAGACTGAAGCAAAAATTGTATTTTGGAGTCTTAGGGCTTTAGAGATTTGTGATAAGCCTTGAAGCTCAGGCAGAATAATTAAATTTATTTATAAAGCTGTAGAAAACAGTTGTAGATTTACTAGACAAGTGAAATGGTGAAAATAGTTTCTTTGGAAGGTATCTCTGACTGCCACACAACTAAGAGTGTAAGGAATTGGTTGTAGACTGGGGTGTGGAGAAGGCAGAGTTTAGACTGTCAACATTTGAAGTATCCTTCTATCAATACCTCAGAGGGAGGAGTTCAGCTGTAACACAAGCCCAGTTGTTGGCTTCTGCTGGTTATACAGAGTTTTCTGGATTCTGAACCAAAATGGAGTAAAACCTAAAACCTTGCCACACTTCTGCCTTAATCAGTTGGTTATATGATGGACAGTCCACAGGTCTGGATGCCAGATGTCAAGAGTGCTGTTAGCATAAGTCCTTTCCTGAAGTGTGATAGAGGACACATCCTCATTTCCAAAGGATGAAACTTAGAGAGGGATACTGGTAATATTAATAGTATTATTATCCAGTTTGAAGGGCCAGGAGAGAATTATGGAATCTAAGGAAAATAAAGATAGAACCTATTCAATCTAGGACAAGTATAACCCAGGATATGTTTATATATTTTGTCTTTTAAGGTTAGTGCTGGCTGTGGTGTTGTATGCTATAAATCCAGAACTTGGGAGGCAGAGGAAGGTTCAGAAGATTTCAGATTCAAGACCAGCCTAGGCTACAAAGCAAGTCTAAAGAGAAAAAAAAAAAAAGATAATGTTTAAAGTACAAAAAATGGAGTTGGAGAAGTAGTCCAGCAGTAGGGCCCTTGCCTAGAATATGCAAAGCCCAGGTTCCATCCCCAGCACTGTCAAAATAGAATTATAATTAATAGCAACCTTATAGCTAATTTTTCCTTTTGTTTCTTTTTTTTTTACTTGAAAAAGTAGAAAACAAGTTAGCTTTTTCTCCTTCAAAGACTGAAAGTACAATAATTTAAAATGCATTACACAGAACATTTCTGCACCAACAGAAAATTATTGTTGGTAAACATTAATATTATTTTTTACAATGCTATGACCAAACTAGGCCTTAATTGTGTGCTAGGCAAGCATTCTACTATTGAGTCACACCTTTAGTCTAGCTTCTTTGTCGATTAATTGGAGATGGAATCTTTTTAATTTCTACCCTGGCTTGGTTCCAACCTCAATCCTCAGAGCTCAGCCTTCTGAGTAACTAGGATTGCAGGCAAGAGCCACTGGCTTACCGATTTTTGTTTTGCTTTGTTTTGTTTTTTGCCAGTCGTGGGGTTTGAACTCAGGGCCTGAGCACTGTCTCTGAACTTTTTCAAGACTAGCGCTCTACAACTTTGAGTCACAGTACTACTCCTGATTTTCTGGTGGTTAATTGGTTAATTCAAAGCCTGGGTTGGCTTTTTACCATGATCCTCAGATCATGGATAGCTAGGATTATAGACATGAGCCACCAGCACCTTGCTTTTACTTACTTTTGAAGTTAATAAAATACATAAACTTTAAAAATAAGATACCAGTATTCTTAGGATTTTTTATATAGATTCCACAATAAAACTTAATTTTTTAATTTTTTTTTCACATTTTTAATTTAGCTACTGGTTTTTGCAAAGAATTTGAATGTAGAATTCAGCTTGGAGGCAGAAAGAATGATTCATGGATATTATCTATCAAGTCGCAGAATCCGAACAGACTCTATATATGGATCAAAATTGTCAGCATCTGCATTAAAATATTTGTAGGTATTCAAGATTTTAAGGCCAGTATTTACTTTTATATGATGTGATTAACTTTTCTATTTCCTCTGTTTTATTATTTCTTTGATTGCAGATAGGTTGGTTTATAATTTACCTTGTTCCAAAAGAATTTAAGGTGGTTTTACAATTATTTTGTTATTATTTACATCATTGATACCTCTAATAATTATTTTTACTAAAATAATTTTAATGGCATCCCTGTATGAGATGTGCCTGAGAAAAAATACAGACTTCAAATGCAAATGATTGCTTTTTCTAAGCATGGCCATTTATATTTCAAGCATTTTTTCAGTTGAACTCAGAGAAATTCCTTAAATGTAATATTCCTTGCATTTTACTTCAAGAACGTGCACTTTAAGGGTCTCAATTATAGCTCAATAAAGCTGTTCAAAAACAAAAAAGCAAAACAAACAAAACACACACAAAACAACAACAACAACAAACCAAGCCAGGGGGAGGGAAGAGTGGTCTACTTGGACACAGGCAAACATGTCTCCCCTGCATCCTATGCCTTGGGTTGGAAAGGGATGAAAGGGTTTTCCTTCCTTCCTTCCTTTCTCCTTTCCTTTCTTTCCTTTCTTTCCTTCTTTCTTTCTTTCTTTCTTTCTTTCTTTCTTTCTTTCTTTCTTTCTTTCTTTCTTTCTTTCTTTCTTTCTTTCTTTCTTTCTTTCCTTTCTCTTGCTTTTCTTCTACTCCCTAAGACGGTTTCTCTACTTCAGGCAAACTGTCTGGCTTCCTACAAAATGAAGGTAGATAGTAAAACCAGTGTGGGAGCAGCCATCTTGTCCTGGGATGAGGGACTTGCCACTATAAAAACAGGATAGCTACAGGGATCTTATATTATTAGCAACTCAGTGGAGGAGACAGGAAGTGGTATATCCCCAATCACCTACCTATATATCTTCAAATGCAAAAGATAAAATAAGGTAAAAAAGATAAGGTAAAAATCAACTTTTCAATGAATGTTGATAAACAGAACTTTATGTTTTCTATTTCCTAAGCAAAATTTAAAATGCTCAAATCAGATTTTACTGCCTTAAAATTTCAAAAGTCCTGCTCTCTCATGTTTAACTGTAGTAAATTTTTTTGTATTTAAACCTATATAGGCTGGGAAGTTGGCTCAGTGGTAGAGTGCTTGTCTCACATGCATGAGGCCCTGGGTTCGATTCCTCAACATCACATAAGCAGAAAAAAGCTGGAAGTGGTGCTGCAGCTCAAATGGTAGGGAGCTAACCTTGAGCTGAAGAGCTAAGGGACAGTGCCCAGGCCCAGAGTTCAGCTCCCATGACTGACAAACAAACAAACAAACAAAAAACCTATAAAGCATTAGTTCACATATGACTATGTTTATCCTAATTTAATAGAGCTGTTTTAATGTAACTATGTTTTCACATATATTAATAAATAGTGGGGGCTGGGAAGGTGGCTCAGTGGTAGAGTGCTTGCCTTGCATGCATGAGGCCCTGGGTTCGATTCCTCAGCACCACTTAAGCAGAAAAAAAAAAGCTGGAAATGGCGCTATGGCTCACATGGTAGAGCTAGCCTTGAGCTGAAGAGTTGAGGGACAGCTCCCAGGCCCAGAGTTCAGGCCCACGACCAGACCTAAAAAATAAAAATAAAAAATAAATAGTGAGGAGTGGAGATAGATTTTATAAAATAGCACAGTAAATAAAATACTACCAGAAACATTTGAAACTTTAATTTTTGACTCTATCTCTAAACAGGACCTTCATAAGGCCATTTTTGCTGGAAAAGTAGAACTGAATATTGTTGCTCTCTTCTCTTTGTGTGAAAAACTCGGTACATGCTCTGTTCTGGGCTACATTTTTAGGAGCTTAGATGAGAATATGACAGACCTGATATTGTAAAGCATAATTAGGCACCATGGGTTGGGACTTTCACAGACCTGAATTATGGATTTTTTTTTTTTGGTGACTGTACTAGGGCTTGAACCCAGGGCCTGGACTCTGTCCCTTAGCATTTTTCACTGAAGGCTAGCACTCTACCTCTTGAGCCATACCTACACTTCTGGCTTTTTGCTTGCTAATTGGAGAGACAAGAGTCTCATGGGAACTTTTACCCAGTCTGATGTTGAACCTTGATTCTCATATCCCATTCTCCTGAGTAGCTGGGATTTCAGGTATGAACCACCAGTGCCTGGCTTGAATTATGATCTTAATCTAGCAAGAATAAAGTCAATATGATAAATGTAAAAGCCTCCATTAGGGGCTGGGAAGATGGCTCAGTGGTAGAGTGCTTGCCTTCCATGCATGAGGCCATGGGCTCAATTCCTCAGCACCACACAAGCAGAAAAAATCGGAGGTGGCGCTGTGGCTCAAGTGGTAGAGCCACTAGCCTTGAGCTGAAGAACTGAGAGACAGTGCCCAGGCCCAGAGTTCAAGCACCATAGCTGGCCAAAAAACAAAAAACAACAACAACAACAAAAAACTCCCTAGTCTAAATAAAGCCTAATATCCAAAGATGTGAAAAGAACTTCAGATTTCATTCTGTCTATATTTAATATGAGTAAACAATGTAATACAGCTGTTATAACACAGGGATTTGGGATGTAGTAACAGAATACATATCAAGAGTTAGGAAATACTATTTATTCTTGGCTTCCACTGTGGTCTCAGATCAAACCTTAGTACTGAGCTGAAAAGGAGGATTAAACTATTTTGGACACAAGAAGAGTAGCCAGGATGGTGAAGGACTGACAGTTATGTTTCATGGCATATTACGTTTTTGTTGTATATGGTGCTAGTGATGAACCATGACCTCTCCTATGCTAGACAAGCATACTGAATTAAGGGATATCTACTTTCCTGCTATTTAAAAGTATTAGGAATGTTTAGCTTGGAGGAAAGAAAATAAAGGGCCACTATAAAAGTTACTTCAGTATTTAAAGAGCTATCACATCCAAGAGGTATTCTTTTTCTGTAGCCAAAGTGGGTGGCGATTTGCTACTTTAGATTTATGTAACCTTTGTAAGTTATAAACTTTCAAGTGCTTTTATTTAGCATCCCCATTTTATAAGAGTTTTAAAAAATCCTCAGAAGGGGCTGGGAAGGTGGCTCAGCGGTAGAGCGCTTGCCTTGCATACATGAGGCCCTGGATTCAATTCCTCAGCACCACATAAGCAAAAAGAAAAAAGCCGGAAGTGGCGCTGTGGCTCAAGTGGCAGAGCACTAGCCTTGAGCTGAAGAGCTGAGGGACAGCACCCAGGCCCAGAGTTCAGGCCCAAGACCAGAACCCCCCCAAAAAAATCCTCAGAAATCAAATTTTATAAAATTACAGCTAATTAAATTCTAAAGGCTGTCTGTTTTCTGCATCTCAAGAACAGCATTCATTCAAGTATACCACATTTGCTTCAAAAAAAAGCTGAAGAGATATTTCAGTTATTAAAACATTAATTTTTTGAATAAATTGAAGGGGTAACATTGTCCAAAAAAGAAATGTACTTATTACCTGACTTATGAAATGGTATCCCCTCTGTATAATACCTTCTTAATAATAATAATAAAATTACGTTTAAAAACACAAAAACAAAAAAGCTAACAAGAAATAAAGGGATAGATTGTCTGGGCCTCAGTGGCTCGCACCTATAATCCTCGCTACTTAGAAAGCTGAGATTCAAAGATTGTGGTTTGAAGCCACTGGACAGGTCTAGTTGAAGTTTAAACACAGAAAAACATTTCTCTGTAAACGTAAAATCCTTCAACTCCCACCCACTTTTCTTTTTTTTTCCTCTTGAGAAATTAGATTAGCAACTGCCTGCTCTCACTCCTTCCTGTCTTTCCTACTCTGAATAGGCCGGAACCTCTGATTATATCATATTCAATATGTCTGTGCAAAACTGAAACCAACCAGGCTTATCTCAGTGGGCTCCACAGCTTATAGTGGTACAGGGACACTGGATAAGGAAGGAAAGCAGAGGGGTATGCCCCTAGTCTCTGGGAAAGGATTCTTGTTGCAGGGGAGTGGGAACACTGAGTTCTTCACCCAGTTCTTAGAACTCAAGCTCCTGGGAGGAGAGGGTCTTGCTTGCCTCCAAAGGGATTTACTTGAATTTCTGGTTCAGCTTCTTTAGCTAGGACTTAGTATCCAGGGATGCAAACTGTATTATTTCTGAAAAAGACTAAATTTAACTGATGTGACCAACTGATGTAACCAACCAACCCAGAAAACTAACCAACAAAACATAGGGACTGCATATATGCTTTGTCCCTATGACTTTAAAAGGATAGTTTTCCAGGCAATGAATGGTAATGAAGTTATGCTTGTATGTGGGCATGTGCATGGAGTGGGATGTCACTGATATAGTTAGACAATACAGTTAACTGATAGTTAGACTTAAAAAAAAAAAAAAAAAAAAAAAGATGCCTTGAGCTGAAGAGCTGAGGGACAGTGCCCAGGCCCAGAGTTCAGGCCCCACGACCAGATCCCCCCTCCTCACAAAAAAAAAAAAGATGGACTGGAGATGTGGCTGAAGTGGTAGAGTGCAAGTCAGTTGTGAGTAGAAAAAGCTAAGAAAGAGTCAGAGGCTCTGAGTTCTAGCCCTGGACCAAAAAGATAGAGAATATGAGAGAGAATCAATTACTTTGTAAAGCAGTGAATGCTAGGAGGGGTTCAAAAGAGACTTGAGAGTTAAGTAGGCTAGAACTATGTAGAAGAAGAAATTCACTTATCTGATAGGAATTGGAACTTTTAACTCTAAGATCCCTTACAATAACTAGGACTTTGGACAGATAAAGAACTGGTGAAGCCGGGCGCTGGTGTCTCATGCCTGTAATCCTAGCTACTCAGGAGGCTGAGATCTGAAGATCATGGTTCAAAGCCAGCCCAGGCAGAAAACTCCATGAGACTCTTATTTCCAGTAAACCACTCAGAAAACTGGAAGTGGCACTGTTGCTCACGTGGTAGAGTGCTTGCCTTGAGCTGAAGAACTGAGGGACAGCGCCCAGGCCCAGAGTTCAAGCCCCATGACCAACCAAAAAAAAAAAAGAACTGGTAGAAACATAAAGGGTTTATAAAAGATATTGAGTTAGGCTTATTTCCCAAGTTATGTATTTATTTGGATAGAACTTGGTGGAAGAGAGTGTGGAATGCTAAATAGAAGCCAGGATAGAAACCACTCATAAGTCTGTACAGTATACTTGCCTGTCCTAGAATAACCTAAGTTGGTACGAAAAAAATAGTGTTTCAAAGGAGGAAGAACATGTTGATCTTTAATGTGTGCTTAATGTTCACTTATGTCTTAATTTGTTCATGCCAAAATATGTTATTTTATGGCAATATATTTTTATTGGCATCAATTCTTTTTTAGAGTTTCCTTATCTGAAGCTCATGCTCGACTAAGCGTAAGGAATAAAGTACTCAAAGAAGATGTACTAATTGCAGCCTTATTATTTGAAACATCTCTCACATTGAAATATGGTATGTATTAAGTTAATACTGGTCCCGACAAATAATTTTAATTGAACTTAAATATCCTTAAATTATTACTTATTTTAAATTATCTCAGGTAAGACTTGCTTGATTTGGCCATTTACTGATTGTTCATAGGTAATATCATCTGATATCAAGCTCCTTAATATGTATAATTATTTTTATAATTAAACTTTTGTGTTGTTTAAAATATCATGAGGAAGCTAGGCGCTGGTGGCTCACGCTTGTAATCCTAGCTACTCAGGAGGCTGAGATCAGAGGATCCTGGTTCAGGCATGTCTGTGAGACTCGAATCTCCAACTAACCAACCACCAGAAAACCAGAAGTGGCACTGTGTTTCAAGTGGTAGAGCATTAGCCTTGAACTTAAGAGCTCAGGGACAGCGCCCAAGCCCAGAGTTCAAGCCCATGCATGACCAACAAAACAAAACAAAAAATATCATGAGGAAAAAAAGAACTTTCACTTAAAAATAGCATTCATAGGGCTGGGAAGGTGGCTCAATGGTAGAGCACTTGCCTTGCATGCATGAGGCCCTGGGTTCGATTCCTCAGCACCATATAAGCAAAAAGAAAAAAGCCAGAAGTGGCACTGTGGCTCAAGTGGCAGAGTGCTAGCCTTGAGCTGAAGAGCTGAGGGACAGCACCCAGGCCCAGAGTTCAGCCCCACGACCGGACCCCCCCCCCCCCAAAAAAAAATAGCATTCATAGTGCCAGTCCTGGTAGGTTGTATATGCCCATAATCCCATTACCTAGGAGGCTTAGTCGGACATTCTCAAGGTTTAGTAATCCTGGGTCCATAACAATACCCCTATATCAAAGTAAATAAATAGGGAAGGAAAAGAAAATTAGCTTTATTTACCAATATCAAATAAAGATTAGGAAGATAAATATTTTTATTTTAATTTGCTTTATCTTTACTTTTTAATTCTATGTTTAATACATATTTGATTCTATATTTAAGACATAGTTAACCATATCTAAGATTTTTTTTATTGTGAAAATACTGTAGAGAGGGATTACAATTACATGGACAAGATAATAAGTACATTTCTTATCAAGCATTGCAGCCTCCTCCTTTGTTTCCCCTTCCCATCCCTTCCCATCCTCCCTCTGCCCTCCCACCCAGTCCTCCTCCCCCTCTCCCCCCCACCAAAGTTGTAAAGTTCGTTTTCGACATAACGACTTGTACATCTCATTGTTGCAATGGGTCCACCTGTATCCCTATTTAAACGATTTGTTTTTTCCCTTCGCCTCCACAAATTATACAAACATCAAATATAGTGAAAGCAGGGGTTATACAGTGGGGGAGGGACATACAAAGCAACAAAGAAATAATCTTATGTGTTAGAAACAATCGCATGAAAGAAAAAAAACATTTGAATACATATCTTAAGATTCATTTCCCTAACATCAACTTATCTGACCTCTTCTGCTTGACTCAGACATACTAGTTATTGCAAATAAGGGAAACCATGGGACCTATGTTTTTTTGGTCCTGGCTTACTTCACTTAATATAATTTTTTCCAAGTCTTTCCTAAGATTATTTTAAATAAAGGAAAATGCTGTCAATTTTTACATAATACCAATTATTAAGACACATCAGGGTTCAATAATAAGACAAAAACATGTCCTTAAAAACTGTCATTTTAGCCGGGCGCTGGTGGCTCACACCTGTAATCCTAGCTACTCAAGAGGCTGAGATCTGAGGATCTCGGTTCAAAGCCAGCCCGGGCAAGAGAAACCGTGAGACTCCTATCTCCAATAAACCACCAGAAAACCGGAAGTGGCACTGTAGCTCAAGTGGTAGAGCGCTCGCCTTGAGCTGAAGAGCTGAGGGACAGCGCCCAGGCCCAGAGTTCAAGCCCCATGACCGACAAAAAAAAAAAAAAACACCTGTCATTTTAGGGGCTGGGAAGGTGGCTCAGTGGTAGAGCGCTTGCCTTGCATGCATGAGGCCCTGGGTTCGATTCCTCAATACCACATAAGCAAAAAGAATAAAAGCCGGAAGTGGTGCTGTGGCTCAAGTGGTAGAGTGCTAGCCTTGAGCTGAAGAGCTGAGGGACAGCGCCCAGGCCCAGAGTTCAGGCCCCACGACCAGACCCAAAAAAAACCCCCAAAAAACAGCTGTCATTTTAAGCCAGGCCCTGGTGGCTCATGCCTGTAATCCTAGCTACTCAGGAGGCTGAGATCTGAGGGTTGTGGTTCAAAGCCAGCCCTGGCAGGAAATTCCCTGAGACTCTTACCTCCAATTAACCACCAGAAAACTGGAAGTGATGCTATGGCTCAAAGTGATAGAGTGCTAGCCTTGAGCAAAAAGTGCTCAGGGACAATGTTCAGTCCTTGAACTAAAGCCCCATATTGACAAAAAACAAAACAAAACAAAACAAAAAAACCCTATGATTTTAAATTATTAATGAGTCATGTGGAAGTATAGGACAGATTATTTTTTCTTAGTGACTGTTTTGTCAAGACTTCTTGAAGCATTTAAGTATTTGAGGGAAATAAAAACCATGAGAACTATTTTATCCCTTTACTTTTGTTTTCACAATGATTTTCAGTTAAGATTTATATTTAAGTCTTAATTAAACCAATATTAAGAGCTCTTTAAGCCTTTTTATGAACATAGAGAAATTATCCCTATCAAGGGATGTTTTTAGGGTAGATTTATAAAACTGACATAAGGCATCCTTTGTACAAATACACATTTGTATAGAATCTTGAGTGCTAAAAAATTTGTTCTCTTTTTACATGTTAAACTATGAAGGTGATTTCAGGTTAATTATAATTTGAGGATTATTGCATTAAAATTCGTGTGCTGTGTGTTCTCAGGCTTCATTATCACTATTTGAATTCAGTATCCATGTTCAATCAGTGACAAGTAGATGCATACACAGACATGCCCACACACACATATGCATGTTGTTTTTGGTTTCTGTGTTTGATGCTAGCACTTTTGCTTGAACTGGGGCCTTGAACTTAACTCTCACTTGGCTTGTCTGCTCAAGGCTGGCACTCTACCACTTGAGCCATACCTCCACTTCTGGCTTTTTGTTGGAAATGAATTTCTTGGCTTTTTGCCTGGGCTGGCTTTGAGTTGTCATCCTCATATCCCAGCCTCCTGAATAGCTAAGATTGCAGGCATGAGTCATAGGCACCTTCAATTATATTTTTGAAGTTATCATTGTCTGTAGTTAATATAAATAATGAGTTGGAGGTTAAGAGTAGAAAGAAAAATTAATATCATAATACAGCCCACAAATAGTGGAAGGTTTGACTAAGTGGATGTAGCAGATATAGAAATTGGTGAATTATCTGTATCTTGGATGCAAAATTCAAAAGATTTTGCATATAAATTAAGTTTGGATGTAGGTACAGAGTTGGTGGAAGGAGAGAGAGGAATTAAGGAAAAATTTCAGGTCTCTCCTTGGTCTCAATGGGCCAGGTATAATTTTCCAAGTCTGAGAGAGAAGAGGTTTGAAAGAAAAAATAAGTTGTAAGTCAGGTACTGGTGGCTCACACCTATAATCCTAGCTACTCATTTAGCTGAGATCAGAAAAGTCCTTGTGAGACTCTTATCTTGAGATGTCTATGAAGATGAAGAAAAAATTAAGTCATTAGCTTGTAAAGGATGTGTAGTCCAGAAAGGATTTAAATTTTAAAAACATGAGGTTCTAAATCATGTAATGTGAAGTAAACTTTATACTCCAGAAGGACGGCAATGCTGGGCATGGTGGTGAGTGCTTTATGGTCTGAGACTATCCTGGATGGCACAGGAAGGCCCAGGCCCAGCATTTATAAAAAGAGATGGAGAGGGGCTGGGAAGGTGGCTCAGTGGTAGAGTGCTTGCCTTGCATGCCTAAGGCCCTGAGTTTGATTCCTCAGCACCGCATAAGCAAAAAGAAAAAAGCCGGAAGTGGCACTGTGGCTCAAGTGGTAGAGTGCTAGCCTTGAACTGAAGAGCTGAGGGACAGCACCCAGCCCAGAGTTCAGGCCCCACGACCGGACCCCCCAAAAAAAAAAGAGATGGAGAGAAAGGAAATTAAATTCCTTAAAAAGGTGAGAAGGGATAGAATCCAGAATACACGAATCCAGAGGGATTGACCCCTGTAAGAGGTGTCATTTCCTAACTTTAAAGAAAAAAAAATGTATACAGAATGAGATAGCTTTGTAATTTGTTCTTACATTTCACTAAGATTATTTTGTGTTTAAAAAGACTAGTGATTGGTGAAATATTATAAAACTTAATTTGCAAACTTCATTACTTTGTTGGAACTGATTTATGATTAATATTTTAGATTATTTGTCACATTATTTTTTTTCTTCATTTAGGGGCCACTGTATTTTGTGTTGCTCCAAATGCATTATTCCCATTTGAACTGTATAATGAAGAGTATTTAGAGAAAAGAGATCTCTACCTCACTCAATGCCAGCAACAGCTCCAACAGTTCATTGCCACATGTGGACCTGGGACAGCTATTTTCTCTAGTGATGAATAAGCAGAGAAAAAAAATCTCTTTTTCATTGCTATTATAAACAATGGATAGTTTTTAGTCTAGAGTGATTTTGAATGTTTTAGATAATATACAGTAGTATCTGGATGTGTAAAATGTACAAAATTAACTAAAAGGATACACACAATTCAAACTTAAAAAATAATCTCAGCTGGGTATAGTGGCTCATTCCTACTGTAATTCTAGCTACTACAAAGGCTGACATTAAGACTGCAATTCCAGGGCATCCAGGGCAAAAAATGTATGACTATTTCAAAAACCAGAGCAAGTCAAGCAATGGTGGCTCATGCCTGTAATCCTAGCTACTCAGGAGTCAGTAAAGTCCAAGAGATTATATACACAGGCACAGCAAAAAGGGACTGGTACCTTAGCTCTAGTGATAGAGCATGAATTTGTGTTCAAGCCCTAGTACTTAGAAAATTTGTGATTCCAGTTATCAGTGAAAATGAAAAATCCTAGTTGTCACAAGATGGCAATAAAACTACCTATATACTCTTTCTTGCCAAATTGATAAGTTACTGTATTTACATAGTCTGAAGCTTAAAATGCTTTTATACTTTGGCTTATGTAAATAGTTTAAGTCCTAAATGGAGTCAGGGAAGCCTTGAAATTGCCCATGTTGATTGATTCTAAGTAGCTACAAGAGTCCAAAAGGCAAGAGACCGACTTGCAAAGTCAGTTATAGATGGGATCTTACTGCTGCCGAGGGTAGAACTCCTTCGCTTAAGTCATCTTCTTGCCTCCAAATCTTATCCCAACTAGCTAGACTACAGTAGTGTACCAGAAAACCTAGCTTCTAGTCTTCATTAATGTATCAGTTTCAAAAATGCTTCAAAGAAACCAGAACATACTCCCTACATTCACTATTATAAAGAACCTACTGGTACTGGATTGTACAACTATACCAAGGCTTATTCTAAAGCTGGCTCTGTATAACCTTAATGCTGTTCTAACAAAACATGTATGGATCAAAATTCAATTGCTAATTAGAGTTGAAATCCTTCTTGTCACTATCCTTTTACTTTTCTAGCTCCCTGGGATAATGGTAAAATAGTGCTATCTCATAAAAACTAGAGTCTCTAGCTGAGTGCTGGTACTCATACCTTTATACCTAGCTATTCAGGAAGCCAAGATACATGGAGCATGATTCAAAGCCAGCCCAGGCAGGAAAGTCCTTACTCTTATCCCCAATAAACTACCAGAAAGGCCAGAAGTGGGGCTGTGGCTCAAGTGGTAGAGTGCTAGCCTTGAGCAAAAAAGTTCAGGGACAGCAACTTGGCCCTGAGTTCAAGCCCCAGGACCTGGGAGAGGAAGAGAGCAAGAGCAACAACTATGCTCTCTAACCTTAATTTTAGTTGAAAGACAACGGGAGAATTTGGGCTGTGCTGAGGACTGAATTTTGGTGGTCTTGTGGCATGTGAGGCATTCTAAGCCACATCCAAACCCCAAGTTTTCAAATGTTTCCTATGATGTAAAGCCATTCCACCATGTGATTCTATGTACTATGTTGTTTGATGTAAAAGCATGGAATGCATGAAATACATTTGGAGAAAGAAAAAAGAGCTGGCTAAATTTGGCCATTTCTCACTCTCCTGTGAGAGAACTGGCCTTGTCAGCCTTGCTGCAATAATCTTTCTTTTGCTCTAAAAAAAAAAAGGGCGGAGGGAGGGTAAATTTAAGTGTTACAGGCAGAATTCTTGTGAATACTAATTTCTCCAAATATATTAGAAATAACACCACAGCTGTCCACCTCAATGAGAATCTTCCTTTCCCCCCAAATGATCTAGTTATTAGTGAAAATAAGCTGTCTAGTGAGTATGAGACCAATTATTTTGCACTGCCCTGGACAATTAAGATAACTAGCCACTTATTTATTTTCTACATATATTTATTGCGTTTAACAACAGTAAATTAATCTTCGTCTGTTCATCTTCTTTTCACCAATTCTTCACTTTTCCTTCCAAGATGTAGCAGTCCACATTCCTTAATAAAATAAGTCAGGTAAACATTTTTACTCAAGCTCAGTAGTTTTTAGCCTCCATTTTCTATCAAGTGCCATTTAAAAAATAATTCTGAGTAATAAAATCATACCCTAGTCATTTGGAGTTATCAGATTGTTTCTTGAAAAGTTGCAATCACTTCAGGTAATGCATATTTTAACCCCCACAGCTAATGGACTTGGACCTATAGATAGAAAAGAAAAAAATCACTCATTTCAATAAAAATTTCATTGCATCTTAGTAATTTATCTAAGAGATACTGGCATCTCAGTCTTAGAAAATTTCTTCAAAGAAACCCTCAGCTGGGTAAACGGCAAACACTTATCATCATTGTGCCAGCAACTACACCACACATTCTGGCTACTAGAGATAAAAACACAAAGCAAAAACAAGCACAGTAACGTTGTTACCTCCCATGTGGTCCTACTCAGTTTTTTCAGCCATCTTCTATGACAAACTTCTAGGACACATTTGTCCTAATGAAACTAGCTTCATGTAACTTCAAAACACACAGGACTTATTGTACCTAGAATTAAAAAATTATCAGTTCTTATCCTTCTTAGCACATGGGAACCATAAACAATAACCTCATTTGGACTGCAACTTTTTTTTGGCCAGCCCTGAAGCTTGAACTCAGGGCCTTGGGCACTGTCCCTGAGCTTCTTTTGCTCAAGGCTAGCACTCTACCACTTGAGCCACAGCACCACTTCTGGCTTTTTCTGTATATGTGGTACTGAGGAATCAAACCCAAGCTTCATGCATGCTAGGCAAGCACTCTGCTACATTCCTGGCCCAATGACCCCAACTCTTAAGTGAGCTCTCCAATCCGGAAATAAGGCATGAGCAAAGGCAGAAAAATGGTGAAGCCAGTTTATCACTCTTCACTGGGGGCAGTAATTGACATGTGATCCTACAGGTACCAAGTCAATGTTTTTTTTTTGTTGGTCATGGGGCTTGAACTTTGGGCCTGGGCGCTGTCCCTTAGCTCTTCAGCTCAAGGCAAGTGCTCTACCACTTGAGCCAAGCACCACTTCCGGTTTTCTAGTGGTTTATTGGAGATAGAGTCTCATGGCCTTTCCTACCCGGGCTGGCTTTGAACCATGATCCTCAGATCTCAGCCTCCTGAGTAACTAGGATTACAGGCGTGAGCCTCTGGCCCCCGGCTGCTTTTTTTTTTTTTAACCTCAGAGCTTGACAGCAATGAGGTGAGAAACAAATACAAATGTGGAAAGACTTGGAAACATTATAGACAGCAAATCCAGTATTTTTGTAGCATGGATATTTAAAGTTGCCAAACGGACTTAAGGCTAGTGAGGAATGTCCTACAGTACCCTATAAATCATTTAAGCCAAAAGCCTCAATACGACTTACGTAAAAACTACCACGTCCCGACCTTGAAATGTTTCAATTATGAGGAATAGACTGCTGGCTATGAGTAATCTCAAATTCAAAACTACCTTTAAAATAAAATCAGTGGGCAGAAAACTCCCGATGGGTGGCGCCTCTGGGAGTGGCAGGAAGCAGCAAACCGGTAGTGTCGTGTTGCTAATCAACATGAGGAGTCAGACAGCTTCTACTTCGGAGCTCTCACGTAGTTTGAAAATAATTTTTGTCTGAGGCCGGGACTCAAACTCCGATGCTTTTATTCCGAGGCTGGGCCCCAGCACTCGGCCTAGCCACGCCTCCAACCCCAACAATTTCCTTTCCTACAGTAAACGTTCAGTCTCCCCGCTGCTTAGTTTCCGCGTTTTACACCGGGAGCCCACTTCTCCTACACGGCGTCTAGCAGGCGTTGGTGACGAGGCTTTCTGTACCTGCCCGATTGGTCCTATTTGTAAGGCTGAGTCCTACCAAAACGCTGAGACCGGCGCGGGAGGTGGGCGCGACCCGCTCCCTCCCCTCCCGGGAAGGATCCCCCGCGCGCGACCCCGGGCGGCTCAGCGTCCGCGGAGCGGAGCCAAACCACCGCCGCGCAGCCGCGGGCCGACACGGGGGTCCGGAGCCGCCGGGCGGGGCCGGGAGCCGGCGGCCCGAAGCAGGTCTTTTATTGACTCGTGCACCCCAACAGCCAGCAGCGTTGTTTAGGGGTGCAGGAGCAGTTTCGCAGGTGCGTGCCGGGGACGGCGCCCGCGACGCTCCAGGCCGCGCCTCCCGGGCCACGGCGCCGGCCAAAGACCGGGACTGCCGAGCTTCAGGAGCCGGGCTCGGCACCCACAAGGCGGCGGAGCGCCGCACCTAGGGGAGGAGGGCGGAGAAGGCGACTATTCTCACCTCCCGGGGCGCCGGCGCCACGGCCCCGCAGGCGCGGCTGACAAAGCGCCGCGAGCCATTTCCTCTGGGCGGCCGCGCGGGAAAGGAAGCTCCGTTCCCTCGGCCTCGTTTAGGCGCTGCGCAGACCCCGCCCTTCCGGTCCTGGCCACGCCCCTCCGCGGCGGGGGACCGGAGCTGGAGTGGCCGGCCAGCCCGCCCCTCGCCCCGCCCCCGCCCCGCCCTCCTGAGGCCCTCCACCTTCTGCGGGAGCCCTGCCTTAGTCTACAGGCGGGTGGGGTTGGGTAGGAAAGGGAGGAGAAGGGTAGCGTAGGGGAGGGAGAAAGACCGGGTGGCGGGGTCTACTTGACTCTTGGATAAGGGGCCAGAGCTGTTTCATTGAACGTGCAAGGGCGGAAGCTACAAATTTGCAATAATGCTCTGAAATCTCCGTTTTCTAGCACTCCCATCTGCTTGGACTTACAGACCTGAAGTCTTTCAGTGTGGAAGAAATGGATGCTATTGGAATCTCTCCGTTTAACGCACACAGAATCAGTTACCAGTATAATAGGAGAATGGCCACTGTTAGTTATTCTTCTGAGTAGTTAGGATTATAGTTGAGCCACTGGCATCAGACGAGTACTAGAGGGGGTGTGTGTGCGTGTGCGCGCGCGCGCGCGTGTGTACGTGCGCGCGCAAAGACCAGGGTTTGGACTCATGGCTTTGTGCTTTCAGCATTTTTGCTCAGTTTCTCTATTGAGCCATATTCCAGTCCAGCATTTTGCTGGTTAACCTGGAGATGAGTCTTACAAGCTTCTGTCCAGGTTTGCTTTGAACTTCGGTCCTCATATTTCAGCTTCCTGAGTAACTAGGATTATAGATATTAACAACTCGTGCCCAGCTAACTACTAGAATTTTTAAAGTACTTGTGAAACAATTACCTACTTTGTTCATGGGCTGTACTTTTATGTCTCATTACTTCTCTCTCGTTATGAAATCCTACAAAACACTAGGTGTGATGATAGAGGAGAGGTTTGTGATCTTGTTGCTTGAAAGAATACACTTGAAAGCATAAACTTGAACAAGTGAATCAGTTAAAGACAGGTGTCTGTCTTTTACAAGCAAGTCTAAGAAACAGATACAAATATAATACTTTAATTATTAAGTGAATTGAGCCGCAAGTGGCTCAATATCGAATAATAGAGGAGGCATTACTCTACCTCAGAGACTTGGATTCCAGATAAATTTTACTTCCACATACTAATTTTGCAACCAGGACCAACAGGTATTTGTTTGCTGGCGATTATGTGGACAAGTGTGTGAAATGTAGGAGAGGGTGAGTTTGGATGCCAAACTCTTAGATGCTAAGGCTCCAGTTTAGGCAAGTTCTTGGTGCTAGAGTCTTAGGCCATGAGAGAAAGAACTGGAGACATATACAAACATGTTCTTCCTCTACCACTGTGGATAGACAGCTTCTGAGCTGCTCACAAGCTTCTGTTGCCTTCTACTGCAGATGCTCCTGTTGCTAAAAGATTGTTGAGCTGGATGAATCATAGAAGGCATCCCTGCCTTACAGACCTAATATGGCCACCTTTTAGACTGTAGACAATTAGATATCAAGCTAGACTAGAACTTAGATGTTCCTAATTACACAACTGCCCATTTTCAGATGATCATTTTAGATCAGGATTTGGGGGATATGGAGATTGGTGCTGGTCCCAAGGCTTGAACTCAGGGCCTGAGTGCTATCCCTGAGCTTTTGTGCTCAAAGTCAGTACCCTATCACTTGAGCACACAGCTCCACTTCTAGCTTTTTAGTGGTTAATTCGAGATAAGAAACTCATAGACTTTCCTGCCAGGGCTCCCTTCAAACTACAACCTTTAGTTCTCAGCTTTCTGAATAGATTACAGACATGAACCACCCACATTTAGGTTGATCAGTTCTTTTAATTGTTTAATAATGTCATTGAATGTTTGTTTTCAAATGCATATGACAAAAAACTCAACTTTGTTTTTTTAAATGAAGCCTTTTATTCCCTATTACAAGAAATCTGAAGGTGTTAACAAGTTCTAGGATTGGTTTTTTCAGCAGTACAAAACTGACAGAGTTTCTGGTTAAATTAAAAGAGATTCTCAGCTTTCCTGTCATAGTCACAAAATGACTCTCATAGCTGCAAACATCACATTTGCATATACCAACATCCAAACTCAGGAAGGTGGAACATTGCATTTCAAGCATCTTTTAACTAGGGCAGAAAATCTTTCCAGTGTCCACGATAAACTTCTATCCAGGGGACTTTGGCTCTGATAGGGTTACATGCAAGTCCAGACATCATCACCTTGTAATTTCTTTTGAGAACTGTCCATTCAATTTGTTTGCTTGTTTATTAGTTAGATTATTTGTTCTTTTATTGTTTACTTTTATTAGCTCTTTGAATATTCTGGATATGAATCCTTTATCTGCTGAAAAGCTGGCAAGATTTTCTGCTGTTTATGGGTTGTCTGGGTTCTGGTATTTCTTTCTTTTGCTATCCAGAAAATCTGTAATTTGATATAGTCCCGTTTGTCAGTTCTTGTTCTCAGTTTCTGGACAATTAGAACCCTATTCAGAAAAAAAAAGTGTCTTCAACATCTAAGAAGAGCTTAGTTAATCAAGGTGACAGTAGGAAGGAGACAGTAGGAGTAGCTTTAAATAATGGCAGGTATTTGGTTATATAAAGAAGGGGTAAGAGCTAATATTGCTATAGTGAGAAAGTGGAGTAAGGGAAGTAGAAAAGATCAAGTGAACATGTGGTAAGGAGTGAGGAGAAGAAATGAACAGAACACACACACACATATACACAAAATAACAAACAAATGATGCTCAGGCAATCTGAACATCAGATTGCCAGAAGAGAATGTAGGTAATAAGGAAGGATTAGGGATAAAGGAAGATGGGTAAAAGAAAATATTAGCAAGAGGGCAGTTCTACTTGTAAATAGAAGGAACAGATAAATGGGGAAAGGCTATAAAAAGAGGGATGAGGGGCTGGGAAGGTGGCTCAGTGGTAGAGTGCTTGTGTCCAATGCATGAGGCCCTGGGTTCGATTCCTCAGCGCCACAATAGCAGAAAAAGCCGGAAGTGGTGCTGTGGCTCAAGTGGTAGAGCGCTAGCCTTGAGCTGAAGAGCTGAGGGACAGCGCCCAGGTCCAAAGTTCAGGCCCCACAACCGAAAAATAAAAAGGGATGAAAATATGATTTAAGATTGAATATTGAAAGATTTAAGATTGAAATACTGAAAGATAGGACTTAAAATTGAATACACCACACCCAGATTTTATTTAGATTGGTTCTCCAAACTTCTCTGGACTGGTCTCAAACTGCAATCTTCCTGATCTCTGCAACCCCAGTAACTATTTTCCTGCACCACCAGACTACTTCAGTCCATCCCTCTCTCCTTAAATCTTCTCATTCCACCTGACAACTTATGATATCAGTGTAACTTGATAGAAGTTCCTAGGCTGGGGTTTAGACACTTCACAGTAATTGAAGCAGTTACTAAAGAATTACTAACTGTGACAAGGGATTGTCTGTTAGAAGAAAAGGAAACTAAAGAATGTAAAAATACAAAGTCAAGTCTGTTCATTAGTTGGCTCTATCAGCCCCAGTGCTGCGAGTAGGGCTAGATAATTAACACAGACCTGGTGTTTTTGGCCTTTTATTTTCTTCTTCTTATTTCATTTCCTATTAAACCACTGTATATCTATTCTGCTTCTTTCTTCGGCACAGCCTGGAACTTTTATTTTCTTTCAGGTCATTTCTTCTTTCTGCTTCCTATGTAAAGCTGAATATTCTTTAAGAACATTTCACTAAGCAGTAACGGGAGTTCTGGACTTCAGAATACTCCTTTCTCTTCAGTCTGATATTTCCTAAGGGGCTGAAGGATTGTCTAATAACCTCGATTACTCATGTCAGTCACTTCCAATTGTATTTTAAAATATCCTCGTATGTATATGGCCAATTGGTTTTTGATAATGTGCCAATTTCTCTCAAGACTGTCCACAAATCTGTTAAACTGATATCCACATGCAAAGAAATGAAATTGGACTTTTACATTATTCCATGTGCAAAAGACAGAACCAAAACGGATCGAAAAATCTTAAAATACCCTGTACAGTTTTGGACTATCTCGAAGTTCTGTGTGAGGTAAGTTCTGTTCTGCTCACCCTTTTTTCCTTAACACCTAGTATAGTCCCTAGCACTTAATCAGTAATTGTTCTGTCATAAATAATGAATCATAGAGGGCTGGGAAGGTGGCTTAGTGGTAGAACGCTTGCCTTGCAAGCATGAGGCCCTGGGTTCAATTCTTCAGCGCCATATAATCAGAAAAAACCGGAAGTGACACTGCAACTCAAGTGGTAGAGTGCTAGCTTTGAGCTGAAGAGCTGAGGGACAGCACCCAGGCCCAGAGTTCAAGCCCCACAACTGACAAAAAATTAAAAAAAAGAATCATAGATATAAACTTTCCCTAATTCCCACTCTTTCTTTCCTGCGGTAGTGGGGACCAAACCCTGATCCTTGGGTATGCTAAGCAATGATCTATTTTTGAGCTACAGCTACAACCCCAAGATATTTATGAGTTTTAGCAGGTATTATTTTCTTACAAGCTGCACAGAAACAGGTAACTCCCATTAGTAAATTAATACATGTGGCCTTTGGTCCTTTTTCATATTCGTGAGTGATGTGGAGAAAGTCCCAGACCTTCTAGATGTTGGCAGCAGAAAATAAGGTGGGAACTGGTGGGGACTGCTGGAATAACCACATCCTTGTGCTTTCCCCTGCAAGCGTGTCAAAGTAGAGGCAATGCAAGAGAAATGTAAACCACCCTGGTCATGAATGCATGACTTTTCTCTGGAAGAACTTTTACTTCAGCCAAGATTGTTTTCAAACATAATATTGACATTGAGATACACAGCATTTATACATCTTGTCTAGTTTCATGTTCCAAATCTGTGGGAAAAAATATATATATTAAATTGTCAGAAAACAGGGCACTGATCTGAATGAAACTTGACTCTTAAACACTTGAAGTCCATGAACTTTACTGAGATAATTTTGGTGACAATTACCTAAATTA